AAGTGTGTTCAACAGCCCACTGAGTCTCCTCTTTTTGACAATCCACGCAGGTCCCTCAAGTCTAACAGGACCAAAATCAACATGCCGCTCTCGCCTGCACCCACTCTTCACCACTTTCAGTGTCTTCTTCCTGATCCCCTCAGCCACCCAGTGTCCAAACAAGGAACTCAAAAACTATCTTTGACTTCCTCACCTTCTCCTCCTCCAGCTAATCCCCAGATCCTCTGGATGTGACTTACTAAAACACTCCCAAGAAGAATAAATAAACAAACTAACTAACTAACTAAAATACTCCCAAACTCATCTTTTCTATTGCTACTTTCCCGGTTCATGCTAATATCATCTCTCACCTGAATTACTGCAATCACCTAAAATTGGGGGGCCAGACAACTACAGCTCACAAGTCAAATCTGCTTCATCGTGTGTTTTTGTTAATAAAGTTTTATTAGGGCCCAGTGTGATGTTTCAATGGCTAAATCCTCAACTTGCAAATGCTGGTTTTCCATATGGATACCAACTCATGTCCTGGGTGCTCTACTTCCCATCCAGCTCCCTGCTTATGGCCTGGGAAAGTAGTATAGGATGGCCCAAAGCCGCCCACCATGTGCCTTCACGGGAGACCCAGAGGAAGCTCCTGGCTTCAGATTGGCTCAGCTCTGGCCACTGTGGTCATTGGGGATTATATCTGTGGATGAAAGATCTTTCTGTCTGTCCTTCTCTTCATAACTCTGATCTGCCTTTCCAACAAAAATAAAGAAATCTTTTTTTTTAAGTCTTACTAGTAGGTGTGTTAGTGCCCACTTATTTATAGACTGTCAATCTGTTTACTAAACAGTACTTTATTAATTTGCTCATTTAGTAAATAATATGTACTATTTGCATGCACTCGGCTTGAGGGTTATAATGACAGAAGAGTGTTAACAGAGCCCACGTGGCCTGCCAAGTTGCAAAGCTGGTATTTATAGTTAGCCTTCCATATCGACAGAGCCCACATCCATGGATTCAACCAACAGGGGGTCAAAAACATTGGAGTACAGCAGGTCAAGACACCGCTTGTGACACCAGTATCCCAAATCAGAGTTTTGAGTCATATCCCAGCAGCTCTGTTTCTGATTCAGCTCCCTGCTAATGTGCCTGTAAAAACAGAAGATGGCCCAAGTGCTCAGGTCTTGGCCACCCAAGTGGGAGACCAGAATAGAGTTCCTGGCTTCTTACTTTGGCCTGGCCAAACCCCAGCAGTAGCCGGCATTTGGGCAGTGAATCAGTAGATGGAAGATCTTCCTCTCATTCTTTTGCTCTTTCAAAGAAATAAAGTAATAAATATATAAACAAGCTGTACATGTATTCTAGGAATTTTATAACAGAACAAACTGGACAACTACTCCAAACAAACGATGACAGCAAAAAAATCTTAGTGAATGGAGCCAATGAACATTGGGAGGGTGAAATCATCCTCAGATTGGTGAAAACGGCAGCATTTCAGAACTATCCAAAACACTTGGATAGAATCCTTGGAATATGTACACACTGAGACTCTGGGTTGATACGAAGTGGTGGTTCCTCATCCCTGGGATGTGTGGTAAGCCATGAGTGGTCTCCCCTTTTGTCTCTTCCCTTCCCCCAGGATTAACAAGAAATATCAAATTTGGAAGCAATGAGTTTATCCAATTTTCCCTAAACTTCGATCCTTCCTATCCTGATCAACCATGTAATCATTATTAAAAAATAAAATGTATAAAAAGAAAAAATTTTTTTAATTGATCTTTTTTTTTTAATTTTTGGAGTTTGGCATTTTTAAGATTTTAAAGGAGCGGCAGATTTACAGAGAAGACAGACAGAAAGATCTTACATCCGTTGATTCACTACCCAAGTGGCCACAATGGCCAAAACTGAGCCAATCCAAAGCCAGGAACTTCTTCTGGGACTCCCATGTGGTGGCAGGGACCCAAGGCCTTGGGCCATCCTCTACTGATTTCCTAGGCCATATGCAGGAAGCTGAAAGGGAAGTGGAACACCTGGGATGTGAGTTGGTACCCATATGGGATCCTGGCACATGTAAGCCGAGGATTTAGCCGCGAGGCCATTGTGCTGGGCTCTGGAGTTGGGCATTTAGCTTAGAAGTTAAGACGCCCGGGCCCGGCGCGGTGGCGCAAGTGGTTAAGGTCCTCGCCTAGCACGCCCGGGATCCCATATGGGCGCCGGTTCTAATCCCGGCAGCCCCGCTTCCCTTCCAGCTCCCTGCCTGTGGCCTGGGAAAGCAGTCGAGGACGGCCCAAGGCTTTGGGACCCTGCACCTGCGTGGGAGACCCGGAAGAGGCTCCTGGCTTCGGATCGGCATAGTATCGGCCCGTTGCGCTCACTTGGGGAGTGAATCATCGGATGGAAGATCTTCCTCTCTGTCTCTCCTCTCTGTATATCCGCCTTTCCAATGAGAAAATAATAAAAATAAATCTAAAAAAAAAAAAAAAAAAAAGAAGTTAAGACGCCCATTAAGATACTGTCATATCCCTGTGCCATAGCCTAGCAAATAAAGTCCTCACATTGCATGTGCTGAGATCCCAAATGGATTTGGTTCGCCCCAGCAGCCCTGCTTCCCATCCAGCCACCTGTTTGTGGCCTGGGACAGCAGTCAAGCACGGCCCAAAGCCTTGGGACCTTACACTCATGAAGGAGACCTGGAAGAGCTCCTGGCTCCCAGCTTCAGTCAGCTCATCTCCAGCCATGAATGGAAGATCTTCCTCTCTGTCTTTCCTCCTCTCTGTATATATGAAAATAAACCTTTCTTTAAAAAAAATTATATATATATAAAATATCATTTACCCCTTCACTCTCACCCTCTCAAAGTTGCACAATGGAGCAACTTGGAGAGGTTCCAAGACACGTGATGACATAATTAAAGCTGTCAGCAATTGGAACATATATATAACTCAGTCATGAATATTTGCCAAATGACCAATTCATGATGATGCAACAAAAATCATGCAGGCCAAAATGATCTAATCAAAGTATAAGAGGAAGACTGACAGGTTCTAATAAAACAAAGTACAAGAGAAGTTCACAGCTAGCACTGTCAGGGATTCACACAGTCTGTTGAATTTTAGTGCAGTATCAAAGAATATTCACAATTATCTGAAAAGTTTATTAAAATACTTCTGTCTTCGGGCTGGTATTATGGGGTAGAGGGTTAAGCTACTGTTTGCGACGCCAGCACTCCATCTCAGAGTACCAGTTTGAATTGCCCAAGCTTCACTTCTGAACAAGCTTCCTAATAATGTGCCTGTAAAGGCAGTGGAAGATGGCTTACGTCAACTGGGAAGACACCCACATAAGAGACCCAGATGGAGCTCTTGGCTCCAGGCTTTGGCTTAGCGTATTCCTGGATATTGTAGCCACCTGAGGACTGAACCAGTGGATGGAAGAGACACCTCTTGTCGCGCTATAACTCTTTCAAATAAATAAATAAACATACTTCAAATAAACAAATAGAAGCAGCTATAAGAAAAAACTTCTGGGAGCCAGCACTGTGGCATAATGATTTAAATCTCCACCTGCAGTGACAGCGTCCCATATGAGTTTAAATCCCGGCTGCTCCACTTCTGACCCACCACCCTGCTAATGGCCTGGGAGTGCACTGGAGGCAAGCCCAAAGCCTTGCACCCCTGCATCCACGTGGGAGACTTGGATGAACCTCCTGGCTCCTGGCTTTGGACAAGCTCCAACCACTACAGCCACTTAAAGAATTAATGAGCAGATGTTAAGATCTCTGGTTCTCTCCTTTTGTTTACATAATTCCGTCTTTTCAATTAAGATTAAATAAATGTTTTAAAAAATACTTCCGTTTTCAAACTAAATATCTGATGTGTCAAGACTGATTCCTCTCCTCACTTTGAGTAAAACCCTCTATGGCAAAATAGAACAAGGCCGACAGGAGAACCCATTTGTGCTCTGTTAAAGTCAGACATTAACGAGGTCTGCAAAAACAAAGAAACCAAGACCATTTTCCAAATAATTTTTGTTTGTTTTGGAAAACAAGGTTCTTTTCAATTAAAATGTTATTAACATCTAACAATCTCATTGTGTTATTTTTAAACAAATCATAAATATTCCTTAAACTTGGTGGTTTTAATTTCCGAGATGATAAATGGGACAAACAGCACACACGTCCTGGGAAGTTCTGTGCAAGTCTTTGAGCGGAATGGATCCTGAGAGCACAACTGTGGCTCCAGGCACACAGAATGACTTTCAGCTCCTACCCAACATCACGTGCCTTTCTCTCTGTTTTGCAGGCTTGCATCTGCCTGGCTCAATCCCAGTCAACATTCAGATCTTGGTTTACATGTATCTTCTCCCAAAACGCCTCCCCTGATGGCTCAGATTGAATAAGGTGCCCTCCCATGTCCTCCCCGTACTCAGGTCTTCAAAAAAAGCCTTATTTATTTGAGAGGCAAGGTGACAGGGAGGGAGGAAAAGAGATCATCCACCTTCTTGCTCCCCACCATCCTGCAACAAGGGAGCCTGGAACTCCAGCTGGGTCTCCCAATGTGGGACACTTGAACCATCTTGTGTTATTTCCATGTGTATTATTGGGAAGGACTTGAACCTACACTTCCATGCAGGATGCTGGGTTAGCAGACAGCAGCTTAACCTGCTGCCCCAACACTGGATGTCCACCCTCTGTTCTAACACTTACCATAAACCCATCACATGACTACTCCTTCACACATCTGTGCATCACCTGCTACACTCCTTATGCGCTGGGACCAGGCACTGCTCACGAACACTTGCTCAGAGCATCACAGTATCTGGCACGTGTAAGTATTAACACAACAGGCCAACAAAATCACAGCAGATAACGTATTCTTCTTTTTACAAGAAAACCGAAACTCAAAAAAGCGATCTGTTCAAACAATTCACGTGCCAAGTACGAGTTGACAACCGCATTCCACCCAGATGATATAGCTCCAAAATGCACTCGGGGTTGGGAAGGGGGTGTCGTTTACCTGGGAGCTGATGGCATACTTCAGATAGGACAGGATGAGCGGATTAGGGGAGGGTCCAATCATGGCCTGCTCCAACAGCGCTTCTACGAAAGGAAAGACAGAATACTGCTGAGCTGCTACGGATCTGCTAGGTTGATCCCTCCCGCACCTCGTGCCCACTCCCCATGATACCTGCCAAGTTGAGAATGTCCCAGGTGGCTCCTTTGGGAAAGAATTTCTTCATGTTGATGGCCCACTGGTAGTCACTCCATCGTTCCTTCCAAGCTTGCAAAATGGCTTGCTTCAGATTTACCACCTTCATGATTCCACTCCGAGGAAGCGGGACGCGCGGTGACCCGTTCTGAAGTGGGAGGAATGGAGACTCTAAAGCGATGAGGCTCCGGGGGGAGTGCCCAGGGCCAGCTTCCACAGCAAGGAGACGAGGGCAGCTTTAGGCAAGAAGATGATAGGCAAATACGGAGGAGAGGACAAGGTGGAGGTCCTGCCAGCCGCTTCCCTCCTCATCCATCCTTTTTGGAACTGTCAAAGCGGCTATTACAAACACTAAGGAGGGCAGCAAAGGGTTAAGCCGGCTCCATTGGTCAATCACTCCCTGAGCTCTGGCAGCCTCCCTCGATCACCACCACCCCAAGTCCAGATTCCGCCCATCCCCACTTCCATCGTCTTCAACCCTGAAAGTATAATTCCCTATTTCTTTTCATCCTCCGCTTCCCTGTATTTAAACCTACCGGACAATCGAGTTCTACCTCCTAGGGAGAGCCATTTTGGCACATATCAAAGAGCCCAATTTCTATTGGCTGAAAGTAGTAAACATGAACCAATAGAAATTTAACGAAAGACCAGTCTTATCACAGTATCTTCTGGGAATTGTAGTCCTTTGTACTGGGGTCGTATTTGACTTAGAAGAAACTGAGGAACTATTCTTGTCAGTCCTCTCCTTTTAGAGAGGACAGCCCGGCGTGGGACACCGGAGTCGCAGGGTGACAGGAGCTGGAGAAGTGGCTTGAGACTGGGCGTCGCCTGATTACGTCATACAGACCGGGTCGTTCACTCCCTCTCGACACCCTTTCCTTTCCCTCCAGTTGAAAGGCTTAGAAGGGCGTGGCGTTCCTCCACGCATTCTTTCTCTTTCCAGATCTTTCTCAAACTGCTGGAGTTATGAGACTTTTCATTTTCACACCTTGTATTCCCCAGACCACACTGAGGCGGCTAAATTGCATACACATCACCACTTCACCTCCAAGTCTGACATTCCTCCCAGACTCTTCTGGTTCTACGTAGTGCTTGAATGCAGTGGGAAGTACAAGGAAACTGAGGTTAACTGCTTAAAAAAAAAAAAAAAAAAAAAAACCTACTCAACACGACCTAACAAGCCACAGCAAAAGGCAATGCATTATGGATGAGAATTTGAAAAAGAACATTAGGTTAAAACTAAGGATACTGATTCATTAGCTATTACAAATGTACCATACTAATATTATGCTCATAAAAGGGGAAGCTGGGTGCAGAGCTCTGATTGAGCCAGCCAGGGTTGGACCAAGCTAAAGACAGGAAAACCAGGAACTTAATCTGGATCTCCACAAGGGTGGCAGGGGCCCAAGTGCTTGGGCTATCTTCTGCTGCCTTGTCATTCACATTAACAGGAAGCTGGATTGGCAACAGAGTCGCTAGGATTCAACACTACACACAGCTGTGGGATGCCAGCATCACAAGCAGGCAGCTTAACTCACCACAACACAAGCCTACCCCTTTGGCTTTTGCTTTTCATTTATTAGCCATGCATGCCACAACTTACTAATAGTGCTGCCTCCAGGGACATCTGAAACCACCATTGGCATGCCTATCCCACAGCTCTGCTTCTGATCCAGTTTCCTGCTAATGTACCTGCGAGGCAATAGAAGATGGCTCAAGTGTGTGGGTACCTGTCACCTACATGGAAGACCCCAGAAGCAGCTCCTGGTTGCAGGTGTTGGCTTGGCCCAGCCTCCGTTGTTGTAGCTATTTGGGAAGTGAGTTAGCAGATGGAAGATCTCTCCTTGTTCCTCTGCATTTCAAACAGACAAATTTTCAAAAACTAAAATATGAAAAAAAATTCTGTTTGTTTGAAAGAAGCATATTGTAGTAGGTTCCAGCGTCCAGGGCTGTAGGCATTAGCTCTTCTTTCCCTCCAGTGAGAAGCTGGAGAGTAAACGTGCCCCTGGTGATGTCTGAGCCCCCCCAACCTGTCCAGTCCTGTGGACAGATCACCCCTAACATTTACAAAGAGTGAATATGGAACCGCATCCAGTGCCTGCCACCCCTCCTTTTAGCCCCAACCCCACACACTGAGAGCCTGAAATCCCAGGCTGCAAGTTCCAACCTTGTCCCTACCCCACAATGAGCATCCCCTGGCTGCCTTTCCAGTCCCAAATCAAGATGGCTCTGGGAATATCCTTGGACCATCCAGGCAGAGAAGAACAGGATCCCAGGTATTCACCGTGCAGTCTAAGCAGGGAAAGCAAGGACTCCTGTGCTGAAGGGGTAAGTGTGGCTGGAGAAGGGCCAGATTCTCTTTGTGCCCCTAGACCTAACCCAAACCCTAACCCTCACCCCACTCCATGATGCTCCCTTTACAGCTGGCCAAGTGACATACCACTGGGGACCAGTGTTTATACCAAAGCTGCTGAATATATGTGGCAGGAAGGAAGGAGAACCCAGACCCTCGTGCTTCTCTTCTCGACTCCTGGTGGCCACATATGCTTCCCTCCCCCCCCCCAAACCGCATGGCCTCTCACATACCCAACTATCCTTCATGTCACAGGCTCCTTGCTCCGCCTTTGCTAGCACCCCACTTCTTCTTTCCCAAGGCTCACATTCCCCTTCGTTTGCTGGGAGAGAACTGGCCACTTGGCAGCCTGCGTCTGATCCACAGTTGGGTAGAGTGGGCCACCCATGCACGGGGGAGGGAAGACATTCTGAAGCTCCGCCTGCGTCAGCAAGCTGGGCCTCATTTGTAGGCAGCGGCCTCCCGTCTTCCTTGTCCTCCCACGGCTCACCAGAAACCTTCTGGAGGCCTGACAGGGCTTCATCAAGGCATGGCCACCTAGGCGCAGGGTTCTGAGTCAGGTTCAGCATCTCCACTGTGCCCTTTCGGGCTCTGGCTGGTCTGTAGCTGCCTCCACACCTTCGCTCCCCTCTGCACCGGCCACCGCTCCCTAGGTTCCTCCTGAACTCGCAGGTTCATCCAACGCAGGGACAGGAATCTCTGATCATCACTCAGGCAGAGAGCACAAATGCTGAGGACCCCTTCCGCTACACAAGGCAGGCTCCTCCTAGGCCTCTCCTACTTCCCTTCTCTTGTCATCTATCTCTCCTGCCTCAGTGCTGATCGAGGCTCCTGTTCCTGTACTCCTGGCCCCAAATCCCCACCTCCTCACCCTTCTTGCTTGGTCTGATGGGGAAGGGGCCCTAGCTGGAGAAGAGGGGCAGCCTGGAGCCAGTCAGGGAGAATGATGTGACAACATCTGGAACAATGGCAGAAAAGCAGATGGGTGGGGCTGGCACTGTTCCTGAGTGAGCTAAGCTATCACTTTCAATGGTGGAATCCCACATCAGAGCCCAGTCTCCAGTCCCAGCTGCTCTGTTTCGGATCCAACTACCTGCTAATGCTCCTGGGAAAGCAGCCGGGGATGGCCCAGGGGCTTGGGCTGCAGCCACCTGTATGTGAGAGCTGGATGAAGTTTCTGCCTCCCGTCTTCAGCCTGACCCAGCTCTAGCAATTGCAGCCATTTAGGGAGTAAACCAGTGGATAGAAGATCTCTCTCACTCTCCTCCCACACCACCTTCAAATAAGTAAATAATCTTTTTTTTTCTTTTTTTTTAATTGATGTATTTTTATTGGAAAGTCATATTTACGGAGAAGGAGATACAGAATCTTCCATCTGCCTGTTCACTCCCCAGGTGGCTGCAGTGGCCAGAGCTAAGCCAATCTGAATCCAGGAACCAGGAGCCTGGGTCTCCCCTGTGTGCAGCATCCCAAGGCTTTGGGTTGTCCTCAACTGCGTTTCCAGGCCTCAAGCAGGGAACTGGAAGGGAAGTGGAACAGCCGGGATGCCTACTAGCACCCATATGGGCTGGGATCGCAATGAGTGCAAGGCAAGGACTTTAGCCACTTGGCTACCGTAGTGGGTCCAAATAAATTAATCTTAAAACACACACACACACAGCAGCTAGGCCAGTGTAGGATAAGAAGCTATGAGGAACACAAATTTGGGTTCCTGGGGAAAGGGGACATTCCTTATCTAAGCTAGGAAAGAAAATAAGGAAAAATACTTAGAATCCAGACCTCCAAACCCAGCAACATCGAAATCATCAGTGAGTACATTAGCCAGGGAGAACCACAGCTTTCCTGGTGTCCACGGCAACATGGAGTCATTCCCCTCCCCTAAATGGAGCATTTTCCTCTGGAAGCCTCAGTGTCCCCACTATGGGCATTCAAGGGATGCACAGACAGGCCACTGCCACACCTCTCCTGCGCTGCCAGGTCCCAGGTCAAAACACCTACTTTCTGTCTGATATCAGAATGATGGGGAAGAGCTCTACAAAGGGACCACAGCTCAGGGACAGCTGCAGACCCACCAAAGGTCCCTGCCCCTGTCACTTGTCCCAAGAGAGTGAAGGGCAGGACACAGAAGTAGCCTTTGGAGCAGTTTCCTCTCTAACACCCTGGAGTACACCTGCCCACTCCACACTCCAGCATAGGGCACAGAGAGCTGCCAAGGTCCCGAGGGCCTGCGGCCTGCAGGGCACAGGGAATGACAGCCACTCTGTCCGTGCCATCGACCTCTTCACCGAGCTGCTCTGTCTTTGCTTCTTACTCGCAGGGGAGGCTGATGGATGGGGCCCTTGCACTCCGAGAGTAAAGGACGTTGCCACCTGCTCACCTTCCTTTTCCCTAAAGCAAAAGCACAATGAGGAGGGGCTCCACTGGAAAATGAAGCCAGGAGCTTGGAACAGTTACCTAATACCTGACACTTGTGAAATGCAAAAAGAAAATACTTGTCAAATGAAGGCATGAAGGTAGCATGCACCCTGAAAGACAGCCTGGACAAGATGTCAGCTTTTTTTTTCCCACTTTTGGTTTAGCTACCCAAAAGCAAGGCTCAGCCAGACCTAGTCCCTTTCCCAAATTCCTCTTTAAAAAAAAAAAAGATTTATTTATTTTTATTGGAAAGTCAGCTATACAGAGAAGAGGAGGAGAGACAGAGAGGAAGATCTTCCATCCAATGATTCATTCCTCAAGTGACCGCAATGGCCGGAGCTGAGTCGATCCAAAGCCAGGAGGCAGGAGCTTCTTCTGGGTCTCCCACACGGGTGCAGGGTCCCAAGCCTTTGGGCCGTCCTCGACTGCTCTCCCAGACCACAATCAGGGAGCTGGATGGGAAGCGGGGCTGCCGGGATTAGAAATAATGCCCATATGGGATCCCAGTGCATCCAAGGCGAGGACTTTAGCTGCTAGGCTATCGCACCGGGCCCTTTACCAACCCCTTGATCTCCAACTTCCACAACCTGTCCCCTGACCCTCTTTCTACCATCATTTTTTTGAAAGGTTTCCTTTTTCATTTATTTGAAAGGCAGAATGAGAGAGAGGTCTTCTGTCAGCTGTTTCACTCCGCAAATGGCTGCAACACCCATGGCTCAGCCAACATCTGGATCTCCCCTACAGATGGCAAGGGACTTGGGATATTTCCCACTGCTTTTCCAGGTGCATTAGCAAGGAGCTGGATTAGAAGTGGAGCAGCCAAAAGAAAAAAAAAAAAGTGGAGCAGCCAGGACTCTCAAATGGGCACTCTTATTCTACTATCTCTTCTGATTGGGAATTAACTTGGGGGAAATACCTTAGCCAGTGGTGCCTCAGTTTCCCCCACTGTTCTTCCAGAGCACCCCCAATAAGTGGACTGTGTCTGCAGAGCCAAGGATCGCCCACTGGGCACCTGGTCATTTGCTGACATCACCCAGATCCCAGCATGCCAAAACAAGGTGGGTAAGCGAAACTGCTAAGCCTGGGACCAAGGGGCTTGTTGCGGGGTTGGCTGGCAGAAGGGCTGGTTGGCTGCTTTCCCTAATTTGCTGGGCAGTACAGGCTTCTTGCAGAGGAGGGGGATGCTGTGTAGGGCCTTAGCTGACAAGCTTCTGGGAGAAGCTCTCTAGCTCCTGGGGGGTGGGGCCCACAAGAAATCTTGGGGTGCTTCCTAGCAACAGCCTTGGAGGGAGGGAGGGAGAGCAGGGGAGAGGGAGGGGCCTGGGCATGGCGGTGCTGATGAGAGCCCAGAGAATAGGCTGTTCCTGCTGCATCCTAGGCAACGGAAACCCAAGCTGGAGAGGATGGTCAGACACATATCTTGAGAGGGTCTCTACCCAACCTCACTTATGCCCTGCCCTCTCCCTCCCCTGTACCCACCCTGCTCTGCTCCTGGGCTCAGGACATGGCTGAGACAGAGGTCAAGGGTCGGTAGGTGGCATAGACCAAAGGAGAGCGGAGGATGAGCTGAATCTGAGAACTAGAAACCTTAAGGAGCAGGCAGGCAGGGGGAGTGGGGTGTGGAGGGTTGGATGCTCTAACAGGGACCTGGGTTGGATCCTGGCATCAGGTGAGATGGGAGGGTGCTACAAGAGCAGTGCCCCCTCCACTTTCTACTCTGCCTTGGCCCAGGTCTGTCCCTGCCTGTACCGGGGGCACAGGAGAGGGGACGAGGCAAGAAGCAGTCCAGCTTGTCTGAGGTGCCCTACTGGACCCTATTGGGCACTTTTCTCTGGTTCTGGGTCTGCCATTTGGGAAAGTCTTCCCTCCCCACCCAAAAATTTCAGGATCCTACAGCAAAGAGAGAGCTGTGGTGGAGAGAGCCAGGAAGGAAGTCCCCACCTGTGCAGACGGCTGGGACCACTCCTCCCTCAGTTGTTCAGCCTGGAGAAGACAGAGTATCTCATGTCCTGGGATATTCTCCCAAGGTGGAAAGCAGCACAGTTACAAGGGCCTTTGTCCAAACAGGATAGAGCAGCGCACATGGTGGCCTCGCTCCCTAGGGTTTCCGTCAAACCTGATCATGGCGGAGGTGGCTTCACCTGGAAGATAACCACCCTCAGAGCCCCGCCCACTTCATGCTGCAAGCTGCAGCCACCTTTCCCCACCCTCCTGCTGCAGCTGTTGCAAGTCAACAGCAAGCCAAGACAGAACACGGGCTCGCTCACTGCACGCTGACTCTGCTGCCTGCAGCCTCCATTTCCCACCACAGCTACCACACTGCATGCTGTGGGCTCCCTGCAGCCAGTGCATATCCCCTCTTCACAACCCCTTCACCGTGAGTCTCATCCCTGGGCACACCCAGGAGTCCCAAGAGACGCAGCCTCTTCCTCCCCCATCCCATACACTGCAAACTCCCCCCAAACCACCACCACCAACACACACACACTCACACACACACAGCAGTAAGGACTCCTGTTGAACTGAAGTGGCTGAGGCTCAATGCGCAAAAGCAGCCTACTGATCAGAACTCCATGCTGAACAAATCGGCCGTGGGGTTATAAACCATTAGAGCAGCTCCTCTATCTGCTCCCTACATCCACACACACACACCTCCCCAAAAGCAGAGTGTAGAGACAGGGCCCCGCCCTGGGAGCCGTGGGAAGGCTGTGGCCCCCGCTGGTAAAACTGAGCTAATGACGGCGGGGGGGGGGGGGGAACCGGGGGGGCAAGAGGGGGGTGCTACAGTAATTAGCCCTCTACCTGGCGCTGGAAGATCCTGAGATGAAAGGAGCTCTGGCGTCACTGCCATGGTTTTATGCCCATGCATGCAGGGGTGTGCGTGCATGTATCCACACACACGTGCATGCATGTTTGTTTGTAGGGGCATGGGGCTGGCATGATGGAGACCCCTTTGTGGGTAGGGGGTCCGTTTGGTTGCAGCCCACCCTCCTTCTGAAATTGGCCTTGGCTGCATCACATTGGGGTGAGGGTAGGCACAGGAGGAAACACTACCTTGGTGAAGCTGGCTGCAGCAGGAGAGGGTCTGGCCCATTTTGCCCCCTGGGCGAGCTCAGCAGGGGAAATGGTTGTTGGCAGTAAATAAGTGAAGTAGGCTGAGGGTTGAAAGGGGAGGCAGTGGCTCAGGGTGGCTGTTAGAAGTAAGAGGGATAACCAGGAATGTGCTCCCCCAAAGGATTAGAGACAGGGTGACCGAGCGCACCAGAAGGTAAGGGAGCACCTGCCCAACCTTGCAACTGGCGCCCGAATAAGCTCTTTCCGCGGCAGGCGGCGGGGGTTTCCTCAAGGTCATACAAGGGAGCTATTGGCTGAAAGGGGACCCGAACTCCCAATCCAACTCCTCACGCCCCAGCCTTGGCATTCAGACCTTCGGCCCCTTTGCCGAGGTGCGCGGGTGGCTGGTCCCCACCTCCTTCGGCGGCACCCGGTGACAACCCTGAAAAGTGCCCCCACCCACCCTCCACTCCCCTACTTCTCCCAGCAAGCACAGGCTCTATCTTTTCAGGGCCAGTTTCTCCAAAGATGTCCCCAAAGCGCCACTCGGCCCGGAGCCGCCTGCAGCCGCGAGGGCGCGTCCGAGCCGGGCGGCCGGCTGGCCGGGGTCCCGGGGCGCGGCGTGGGGCGGGGGGCGGGCGCCGGCGGCGGCGAGGCGGCCTGCAGGGAGCAGCCGCGAGCCGGCCGGGCGCGCCGAGCCCGAGCCCCAGCCGGAGCGGGGCGGGGGAGGGAGGAGCCAGAGCGGCCGCCGCCTCTGCCGGAGGAGCCGCGGGGCCGCCACACTCGCCCCCCGCCCCCCCCGCGCGCTCACTCGCACTCACACCCGGGCGCTGGAGGCGGGCGGCCCGGGCCCCACCGGCCCCCCATGGACGCCCCCGGCACGGGGCGCTGAGACCCCCGCGCTGCTGCCCAGTCCGGTCCAGCGCGCCACGCCGAGGTAAGGAGGAGGGAGCGAAGGGGCATTAATATGCAAATGCATAGCGATTGATTATGCAAAGCCGCGGGTCCCTACGGTCGGCTCCCAGGCGGGCTGGGGGCGCCCAAGGGGTACCCACTGCCAGCCTTAGTCCTCCGCGGCACCCCGGTGACCCTGTCACAGCCCGAAAGCTTGCAACTTACGCCCGGGGAAGGAGTTGAGGGGGGGAAGGGAGGTGTTGCTGGGAGGTCGGTGGACCCCGGGGTTCGGTGGCGGAGATGGCGTCTGGGCCTCCCCTTCGAGGGCCCGCCCGGCCCCGGTCCGCCCGGTGTGCTGCGCGTTCCCAGGCCGGGCCCCGCTGTCGGCCGCCCGGGCTCCCCCGCCCGCCGCGCCGCGGTTTGTTTACGGTGCTCGGGAGGCCTGCCCCCCCAGCCCCCACCCCAGGCTCGGAGGCCCGAGTGGCTCTGCAAAACTGCCTGTGGCCGCGAAGGGCAGTAGGAGTGCAGTGGGGACGGGGTGGGCTTGCACCGATCGAGGGGAGACAGAGCGGACCTTCCTCCCTCACCCTCTCCCCAATTAAGCATGGCTCTGTGGTTGCAACACTCTCGTAATTGCAAAAAACGCGGCTGTTGGGGCGTGGGGTGGGGGGCGTGCTCGATGTTCCCTGGAGGGTTAGGAGAGGTGCTGGTGCGGGGAGCCGGCTGGGAAAGACAGGAGGGGGAACGGGTCTGTGTTATGTGCCCCCCCTTCTTGTCTCCCTCCCCTTGCAACGTGTGTCTCTGGCAGTCTAGGGCCTTGTCCAGTGTGTGAAAGAAAGGCCTGAGCATGGGGGATGGCAGAGGCAGTGGAGAGAGCTGCCGGCTGGGTGGGGGGTTGGGGGGAGAGAAACAGAAGGAAAGCCAGTGAGATGGGAGCCTGCCCCTCGGAGCTGGCTCCAGGCACCAGGAGGGGGAGGGGATGAAGGGGACTGTTGTCCAAGAGGAGGGGAGAAGCAGAGGTGACACACAGAGCTGTGCCCACACGGACAGCCACATGCACACCCAGGGACACCCAGGCAGACTCAAGGACAGGAGCTGCTGGACACACCCACACGGGACAAGGGAAGAGGCAGGCTGCCGCTGCCCGGTCAAGTCCAGAGGGGCGGGACACACCCACGAGAGACCAGGAGTGGAGAGGCCAAGCCATGCACACACACACACACACACACACACACACAGGGTCACAGGAAGAGGCTGTCTCACACACACATGGACAAGGAGGAGTTGCTGTCACCCACAAAAGGAAAGTCACTGTGGCATGCATGGTTGTACACAGAGCCATCGCATGCAAAGACCCTGTCACTCACAGGCACACACGTGCTCCCCTGAGCGCAGTCACGCAGCCATCATCTCTTGCCATGACAGTGGCTGTCAGTCAAAGGCAAGCGCAGTTACACATCAACACATGTGGACACAACTTAGCAATGAAACAGAACTCAGAGGTTCTGTCAACTATTGACCACCACTGCCCTCCCCCCAAGAAGATAGAATGTGTCTATATGAAAAAGACTTCATGCATCATGATACAAAGCATGCATTCCGGACAGTATGCTGTCTGTCCCAGTCCCTTGGGCTTGTCAAATCTCCCTGCTAGGGTGCCAGCTCTGAGTGCTCCTCCTTCCTGCCCCCTACCCTTCGGAAGACTAGCCCAGGGGCTGCTCTGTAAATACTAGCTCCTTGATTGACTCTGGGCAGCATGGGCACAGGTGCACACGTTGGCACGGGAGCCCTGGGCTCAGGTGCAGAGCACATTCACGGGGCTTGGGCCATGCTGTCACAGGTCCACGTGGACAGTGTCAGGCAGCCCCAGGTGCACTCCTTGCTGCCAGCACCGCTGTCGGGCACACCTCCGTGCCTCGGTGCTGGCCTCCCCTCCAGCTTCCGCCTGTCTTCTGCCATCAGCCTTTTGTGGGAATGGGCAGCTTTATATATATATATATTTTTTTTTTTTTTTGAGGGATAGAGAAACGAGAACAGAGGCCAGGGTGGGAGTGGGGGGGTTCCAGAGGGCCGAGTCATGGGTCGGAAGCATTGTCCAATGCTTTTTAGCAGCTGGGACTGTCCTGGCTGCAGGAGAGGGGGTGTCTGGGGGAGAGCTGGCTCCTTGGAAGTGGCTCTCATCCCTCTCCCAAAAGCTAGCAGGGTTGGGGAGACCTCCCCGCCCTACTGAAGGGCCATTTTCCTGGGGACACTCCACTGAATCCCTACTCCCCACCCCATAAGTCTGGCCCCTTTTCCCACCTCGGCTCTTCTGTCCAAACTTGGCTGCTTTCCTTGGGAGGCCGTATGCTGGCGAGTGTCTGCGTGAGTGATGTGTATTTTTGACTCGGAATTTCTCTCTGCCTGTGTGTCTCTGTTGCTGTGCCCTGTGGTGTCTAATTCTCCCTCTCTCCTTGTTTCACTGCCAGTCTGGATCTCTCTGTTTCCTCCCTGTCCTTGCCTCTCTGTCTGCTGCAGCCCCTTTCCTGGGAGCTGGGAACTGGCAGGGGCTGTCTTCATACTTTTCCAGTTGTTAATACTCAAACTCCGGCCCTCTGCCCCGGCCCGCCCCGCCTCTGGGGTCAGCGGGAGGTTGGGGTGGGGGGCGAGGGGGGGGCTCAGCCGCCTGCTCAGGACATCCTGCACTTCCTTAGTGCTGCAGCTGCGCAGGCCAGTTTGGGGGGCTGAAAAGGCGGCAGTAGGGGGAGTGGGGGGAAGGAAGGGGGTTGACGGCTGCCATACTGACCCCCCTAGGCTGACAGGTCCAGCCAGGGGCCACACTTGTTGCGCAGGCTGCAGGCAGTTAGATCTTGGACAAATCTCCTCCTGTGATTCCTGCTGGAAAAGAATTGACCCCATGTGGACAGTGGCGGGAACTGGCAGGTTGTGCCCTGGCCTGTCTCTGCTCCCCCTGGCAGCTGGGACCCACCTCTGAGATGCCCAACAGCTGTGTCCTGCTTGCCCAGCCTCTCAGCCTGATCCAGCTGTCCAGGCTCTGTGTGGGGCTGAGTGAGGTCCCTTCCCCCTCAAGTGCCAAGTTCACTGAGCAGGGAAGGGAGCTCTTCCGGACACCCAGAACCCAGGGACCTCCATGTGTTTCTGACCAGCTTCCCGCTGTGGCTGGCCCTAGTCCACTTGGTAGCAGAGGCCATGGTGATGATCCTACAGGAAGGGAATGGGTGGCAAGGGAGAGTGGGCTGGGACTTGGTCCCAAGGAACGAGGGGGCATGCCTCTAGCAGGTGGTGGACTGCAGTGGGCAGGAGTCAGGCTGCCTGGGTTGGAGTTCCAGCTCTGACACTTGCTGTTTATATGAAGTGGAGCAAGTGGTTTGCCTCCTTACCTCCTGTTTCTGTGGGAATGATAACGTCTACCTCATTTAGCTTTTTGAGGCTTGGCGGAGTTAGCAAGGCCCTTGTGGGCAACAAGCTGGATGCGTTAAATGTTATGAGGAGGACACTTGTGGGCCTGGCAGCCCTCAGATGTCTCGAGAGATCTTGCTGGAACATTGGATCTCCTGAACCTCACGGGGATGAAATGAGTGGGGAACAGCAGGTCTCCGATCCTGTTTCCTTCCTTCCGTCCCTCCTCCCCCTGTATCATATCTCTTTCTCCCATAAGTTTTTGCAGCCTGAACCCAGTACATGCAAAGCAGCCCAAAACACAGGTCCCTCTGCCCTGCCCCGCCCCATTTAGCTTCAAAGGAGCCGTTGGCATCCCAGCTTGGAACACACCTCACCAGCAAAAAGCTCGGACACCCCTGCGTGTCCCCTGACATGCGTCTAAGCATCGGGGAGTGGGAGAACAGAAAGAAGGAATCTGTCTCCTCGCCTCAAAACTGTCTTCTGCATGTATAATCGCAGCAAGGGGCTCATAGAGGAGACAGCCTCCCTCCTGTCTCCCAGGGGTGCTGCATGCCAGCCTCTTACTACTGGCCCAACAGGACCCAGTCCCAACTGACAAACACCTAGGTTCCCCTCCCCGACACAATAGGCAGGAGTGCAAAAGGTGGTGACAGAGAAGTGGAGGTGTTGAGTGGGGTTGGCTAGACTCCTACAGATCTGGGGTCATTCCTAGGTTACCTTTCCCCTGAACCCCTGCTTCTCAAGGTGAAGCAAGGACAGAGTGTGTGTGGTGGGGGGATGCATAGGGGAAGGTGATCAGAATGGGAGCATATCCTAACTGTAGTTCTTGTAGCTGCAGATGTGCTTGGGGGGATCTCTGATCCTCCTGGGGTAGCCGACCTAACTGGGGGTGCAGACGAAGGAGGCTACGTGTTTGGTATTGACCAGTTGTCTGGCTTTGGGCTTCATGTGTTGTTCTCTGGCTAAGAGTGAGGGTGGGTGGCATCAGGTGGGAAGACTGCTGTGTTCGGTCCACCTTGCCTCCTGGCTTGGCAAGCGTGCCTGTGGGCTCTCCTTTCCTCCCAGGGCTGGGCATGTGCCAGGTTGGGAATGCACATGCTGCCTGGAGCAGAGACAGTCTTCGATCTCGCAAGGAGACAACTAGAGCTGGTGTGGGGTGGGCATATGTGGAGTGAAACCAGGCAGACCACAGAGAGGGTGCTTAAGGGGACCTCCTTCCCGTATGCCGTTGCATGAAGGGATCCACAAGGAGATGACAGAATTTTGCTGGGCACACAAGGGGTGCCAGGCAGGTGCCTTCGTGCCCAGAAAATGCTATCATGCTGTGGAAGGGAGAGACCAGGGCACTGGGGGTTGCCAACAGTGCCAGAGGCACAGCCACACACCTCAAGCAGCAGCAGCAGAGAGCAGCGGAACTGGGCTAAGCCCCCAGCCCTCTTCCTCCTCTCTGTCTTCTAACAAGGAGATGGGTGCTTGGCTCTCTGGAGTCCCTGCTGTCTGTTTCATTTTCTCTTTTACCAGGCGAGGCGGGTGGCGTGGGGAGGGGCTGGGCTTTGGTGGCTATTGGCAATTTTTGTACACATCAGTGAGTGGGTGTGTTGTGTGCGCATCCATGTGAGAGTGTTTTGTGCATGTGTGGGCTAGGGAGGGCTCTGAATATCTCCTGGAACGAGGAGCCAGAGCTGGGCAACTCTGCGCATGCGTAGTGAGTGTGTGTGCCTGCACGTGTCCGTGTGTGTGCTGGAGATTCAGCTGCATTTGCTTGCTGGCTGGCGCTCGCTCTCTCTCTCTCTCTCTCTCTCTCTCTCTCTCTCTCTCTCTCTCTCTCACACACACACACACACACACACATATTCTCTCTCCCTCTCTTCTAAATCTCTCCCCCACTTCCCCCCTTCCCTCCCTCGCTCTCCCCACTCCTCTCTCTTTCTTTGCTTCTGCCAGTTCTGCTTGGGCGGGGGCTGACTCCCGCCTCCCTGGGGTGCTTGGGAGAACATCCCTGCCTTTCTCTTCTCCTCCACCATCCCCTCCCCTGCTAGGTGATGCTCTCCAGGGGCTGGCAGGTAACTTCTTGTTCTGCCTTAAACGTGGAAAGTGAAGGAGGGAGAACCCCATGCCCCGTGCCCATGATGCCATCTGCAGGCAGTGCCTTGGCCCCGTGACAGTCATGCCTCTAGCATTCAGCTGCCCCAGCTCCCAGCTCCGGTTACCCACTGGCTGCTGGGGGGACAAGTGAGGGGGACAGAATGTGCCATGTCCAGCTTGGGGGTGCTTCCATTTCTTGACTACTGGACTCTCTTATCTCCATGCATGAAGGATCCTGGGGCAGGGGGCTGGAAGGAAGGAGCTGAAGACCCTGGGCATGAGTATGGGCACAGTTGTCCATCATCAGGAACATGGGGAAGGATCCATGTGGCCAGGAGATGACCTCTCGACCTGGGCACCCACGTGGATGGCTGGGCTGGGCTGGGGGAGGAGGGTGAGGAGAGCAGCAGGTGGGTGGGGGTGGGGGCAGCGGGTTGGGAAGCACCGTCTTTTGATGTTCAGGCTGGGCATCTGGCCCAAGTCAAGGCTGCTGTTTATGTCTTTCTGTCTCTGACCTGCAGGGGAGAGTTTCCTGTTATATTCTTTTTTGGGGGTGGGGAGGATCCTTTGTTTAAGTCACCCGCCTCCCCCTGAGGGCTATCCCCCACCCCATCTCCCTGTCTCTAGCCTCTTGGACCTCCCATTGCCTGCAGTACTGAATCCCATCTCCTTGGGCTGTTGCCCACTCCCCTGCCCTCTGCCACATCATACCTGCCCAATAGGACTCTCCCTCCTGCCTTCCCTCCTCCTCTCTTTCCTGGCACCAAGATAACAGAGTTGGGTGGGGCAGTCCTGCCCCATCCAAACGTGAGAATAGAATAAGGGTGAAGGGGAGTGGGGAGGGGGTTCTGGCAAAGGAGAGAGAGAGGTCCCAGCCTTTGAGAGGCAGCTTCCTCTCTATGGTGGGGAAGGTTGCTGCTGCAGCTCCTGGTGGCCACAGGCCATGCTGGGGCGGGGGGCTGTGCATGCTGGGAGCCCACGTTGGCCCCAGGCTGTGTGCACACACAGATGCCTTTGCCCGTGCATGCCCGAGTGTGTTTGGGCTCAAGTGGCTGCCCTGGCCTGGCAGCATCACCCTTCTCATCTGCTGTGGCATGGAGTCAGGGTATCAATGCCAGTGATTGGGGGTGGGTCTCCCCCCACCCCTAGCAGCAGGCAGAGGGTTAGGGGAAAAGGAGGTGTGAACCTACCAAGAGCACTATTAATAGCCTACATGCCAGGCCACCAAGAACCAGCTGTCACCGTGGAAACCATTCCTACTTCCCCCTCCCCCAGCCTCCGTGGGGTGGGACTTAGGCGGGACTGAAGCACCCCCCACCCATCTTTCTTTGTTACCTTTCTCCCTTTGTCTCCCCCTCCTTCAACAGTCTCCCCTCCCTGTATCTGTTCTCCTTTCTCTCTCCCCCTTCCTTCTCCATCTCCCATCTCATGGCTTCCTGTCTTTCTGCCCGAGTCCCCCGTGTCACCTGCATTCTACAACCCCCTGCCAAGCCCTGCCCTAGGTCTTTGTCCTTCTCCTCCTCCCCGGCACCCCTTCTGCCCCTCTCCCCCTCTTCCTCCTCGTCCCCCCTCTTCTCAGCGCCCTCTCTGTGCACCTCCCTCTGTGTGCTTGGAGAGGAGGAGGGGTGTACTTTCCTGCAAACAGTAAGGACAAAGTTCAGGGGCCCCAGAAAGGTGGGGCCAAAGGCAAGCCCGGGTCCTCAGGAGAGCTATGCGCGTGCTCTTTGGTGCTAGGTCCCGGGGATAGAGAGTCCTCACAGGTGGAGTCCCGCGAGTCCTTGCAAGGGGGTGTCCCTTGGATGATCCGCAGGGCTGCGCAGTAGGACGAGCAGCAGTGGGAACCTGGCACTGTGCCCTTGGATGCCGCACTGGCTTCTTGTCCCTGTCCCCAACCTCCCTCCTTCCCCTCCCCCGATCAGCACAGAAGCACTTAAGCTTAATGAAATGCTTCCCCCTGTGTGGGCACCTTGCCCACGCTGCCACCCGGCAGCTCCTATCTGACAAAGAGGAAGTGGGTGGCCGGGCCAGCCAACAGGTGGGCCTCACTGTCCTGCAGTCTGGGCCAGCCTCAGAACCCCAGAGCTACGCCTCACCTGCCTCCTCCTTGGACTCCTGGAGGAAGGCAGAGGGACCGCCCTTTAGGGTAGGTATCCCTGCCCCTTGCCCGTTGATCTTTCTCGGCACACAGCTAACACTGGATCCATGGTTTGTGCTTCCTGGCACACTGGGCCCTTAGCAGATACATCATGGAGTCTCCAGGGGCTGCAGCCTCTTTTTAGGTGCCAGGTGAGGGTGCCCTAGGGAGTGAGGGCAGCTTCTGGGTTCTCTGCCCACAGCCAGGGCCTAACCAGATCTGGGGTGATACCACCTGGCACGAGGGCCCCATTTAGGCAGAGAGGGAGCCTGCCCCTCCTCCCAGAGGGCACGTGCAAGCCCTTGGCAGTGCCCAGGCACATTTGGAGTTAAGGCAAGGCTGAAGAGGGGGAAGGGGAAACAAACAGGGTGGCTTAAGTTGGCACTGCCCCAGGTCTGCCCCGTTGCAACTGGTAGTATAGGCTATGGGGGGAGGGGTCCTGCAGGGCCACAGCCTGGGGCAGGAGCTGCCCTTGTCACCGTGTCACTGTGGGGCTGCTGCAGGTGCTCCCTTCTTGGCTGGCCCTTGGCTGCCAATGGCCATTCCGATGCACCCTGGCCTCTGGGCCTGCCCCTGGGGGCCTGTCCTCCATGGCTGCCCCTCTCAGTGTGCCCACTCCTGGGCTTGCCTCCTCCCCTCCCCGGGGGCTCTTGGGCCTCCGGCTAGCGAGTGGATTTTTCCAGCTTCTGTAAACAAGTGGTGGCAGTGTGCCAGGCGGGCAGGAGACAGGCGGGGGCAGCACCGCAGCCAGGGTGTGCCAAGCACCGAGGCACAGCCTTTGGGGGCGGCGGGGAGAGACAGGGAGACACCCAGACCTAGAGAGAGAAGAGAGAGAGTGGTGAGAGACACTCAGATACAGACAAGCAGACCAAGCGAAGGCTGGCTGGGCCCAGATGGGAGGGGAACGCAGAGGAGCCTCCCCTGCCTGGCCCAGCCCCCACCGCTGCCCTTGCCCCCCGCCCCGACCCCTCACTATATGGCTAAGAGCAGCAGGCCCCCTTGCCCAGCCCTTGGGCATCCCCACCCACTTTTCTCCCCACCTCCACCCCTTAGGGCTGGCTACGCCATTATAAATTTATAACAGGAATTTCTCCACAAGCCAAGAAAAACTTGACCTACTTTCTTGACGGCTCCCTGGACTAAGACTCCCTGCTAAGGCCCCCCCCTCAGTCTCCTGTCCAGCCCCCAGTACCCGGTCCCAGGCTGGGGGGTATTGCAGGCAGAATGGGCCTCTCCTCCATGCTCCTCCCACACTCCCACACCAGGGGCTTGCCTGGCAGCAGAGGCCCTGTCCACTGGCCCTGCCCCACTGTCTGACTTATCTCTCCCCCTCCCCACACCCTCCTTCTTATCAGCTCCTGGGGGGGTGTGGCGGGGGGCCCCAGGGGTGAGGTCTGTGGTGCCACAGCCACGTGATGGAGGCTGTATGTAGGGAGCTGCACCCTTTGTCCCCCTCCCACATGCCTGCACCTGCCTGCATGCACGCAGACAGTGAACCAGGGATAGGGTGTAGCATGGAGGGGTAGTAGGCACAACAGCCTGGGTGCAAGGTGGCAGAACGAGGCCAGCGCCAGAGGCAGGCTGTGAGGGCTTAATCCCTGGGCCACCCACCTGCTTAGCAGCTGTGGACTGGAACGAGGGGTTGAGCTTTCCGAACCTCGGCTTCCTCATCTGGGAAGGTCTGATGCCCGCTTCAGAGGGCACCGATCGGTTCATCTGCTAGCACTTGTTTATTCGTTCATGTTGTCGGCCCGGTGGGTGGCAGCTCATCCAGACCTGCCAGGCAGTCTGTTCCTGAGCCCCGGGGCGGCAGTGGGCATGGGGAGGGGAGGACTCTGGAGTTGCCTTGCTAACCGAGGAATGGTCTCGTTACACCTTTGCTTTTCACAGGGGGTGGACTCTGGAGTTTCCAAGGGATTGAGATGGGCAGCCACAGCCCGGCCTGTGACAGAGCCATCCACCTCCCTGTGGCCTTCACTGTCTCTCTCTGTGATGGCTCTGAAATGGGCACCTGTGTGCTGCCCTTGTGCCCTCCCCACTCACTCTTCCTTCACGGGTACCCTGGTGCCCTGCTGGGGACCCTCCCACCCCCACCATTCTGCTGGGCTTTCCAAGGACTAAGCTAATGTTTGCCAGGCACGTGTTGGTCTGGCTGTGAGAGCAGAGTGGCGCTGCCTGGTGCCCATCTGGCTTCATTTTTCCTTTCTTCCCTCTCCTGCATGGGGCCGAGGACATAGGTATCTGATCTTGCCTGCCCCTGGCCTCATGCCTACCTTCCGTGCTCACTGCTGTCTTATAGCACCCCAGAACCCCCAATGTGGCCACCAAAGGAACTGTCCCTCCCCTACTCACTTTGGCCTAGCAGCATGTACTTATCCATGCCTCTCTCCTCTCTCCGCAGGGATCTCTGGATAGGACGAGACTCTGAAGTTACTCTCCCCCAGCGTCCAGCCCAGGACCCCCGCCTCAAGGACCCAGCTTGCCCCCAGCCCTCCCACCTGTCACTCCCTGGCCCCTCCCACCGCCTGCCCCCTGCCTTGGGGTGCAGGGCATGGTGTGAAAGGCCGAGTGTTGGGTGGGTGCCATGGGTGCTGTGCCCTAGGGCCTGGGTGGCGGGGGGTGGGTGGCCTGTGGGCGTGCCGGGGGGGCCAGAGTGCCCACCCCAGTCTCTTGGCGTGCTGGAGGGCATCCTGGATGGAATTGAAGTGAATGGAACAGAAGCCAAGCAAGGTGGAGTGTGGGTCAGACCCAGAGGAGAACAGGTAGGTCATGGGTTTGGTGACTAGGTCATGCCAGCGCTTAGGTGTCCAGCGTGTGGGCCAAAGAGACATTGTGTCTTGAGCATCCCTGGGAGATAGGGCATGGAGACAGCAAGCGTACCACCCACCTCCATGCTGGAGGTGATGAGCCACTCAGAGATTGGTGGGAAAGCAAACACTTACCTGGAGAGCCGTCTGTCTAGCAGAGGGCAGTGCCAGAGACCTGAGACTGTAGGTACCAGATCTGTGGTCCCTCCCCAGCTGGCGCTGGACAGCCTTAAGCACACCCATGCCCTCCCCCTTGTTACCCTCACCTGAGCCCCTGGGGTCCAAACAGACTCACTCTTTCCTTTCTTGGTCTACCCGTCCATTCCCCATCTGCCTGCGTATATAGGTGCACTGCCCACCAGCTGTGCACATGCTGTGCACCTGGAACCATTGGTCACAGCCTACATTTATACCTGGAATCTTTCGGGAGCCCCACTAGCTCTTCCTTATTTATGGTCAAAGGCAGACATTGCTGTGGGGCTCCTCCCAAGAAGTGTAAATGCGCATCAACCTGGAGGTTTTGCTTACACACAGGTGAGGTGTCTGCCACAGGCACCCTGGGGACAGGGTCCCTGTCTCCCGCCCTGCCTGTGAGAAGCCCAGAGGGTCTCTGCCTCTCCCACTGGATCCAAGTGGCACAGAGCTCTGTCCCAGTTGGCATGGAACCCCGGGAGCTGGGTACAGGCTGTGCCTATGACCAGGGAGAGTGGGGGTGGGGTGCTCTGGGGAGCAGTGTGGCTGGCTGTTGCCTAGGAGATCAGATTCTGAGCCAGAAGGCTGCAGGCCTGGCCAGGCAAAGCCCTGGGGCCCAACACTGGGTCCCTGGAGGGCTGGAGGAAGTGGATGGAGTTCCAAATGGTGTCTGCACCAGGGTAAACTCTACTCCCAACAACCCCCTGAAGGCCTCACTCCCAAGTGGGACTCTGAGAAGGCTCTATGTGGCTGTCACTTGCATCCACTGTAGTTCTCTGGCCAGACGAATGTGGGTCTAGAAAGCCGGCCCCTAAAGCTTGGACAAAGGCGAGAATGCCATTCCTCAGGCCCTTAGGACTGCAGCTTCTCCCCTCCCCCACGTCCTCGCGCCACCTTGTGGCCATTCTTGGGACTGCACCCAGAGGCTAGGAGTCGTGATTGTCAAGACGCCTGCTGCACTCGGGCCCTGGGTGGCCCGAGTTCTCCTGCACCCACCTCTCCAGGAGGCAGGAGGCAAACCTGACCCTCTAGCCTCGTAGGAACCAGACAGGGGTAATCCCCAGAGGGGGCGTGGAGTGTGGAGCTGTCTGTGACTGTGACCCTGGCCAAGGTCACTGTGTCAGTGTGCTGGGAGCTGCCTCTGGTTTCAAGGGGAGGGACCCTGCTTCATGCCACACACAGGGTGGGCGAGGGAGGTTATACAATCCTCACAGGCACGTAGAGCACTTATGTAAGCCGTGTGTGATGAGGTTATGTAACATGTATGCAGAGCCTGGTGACATGTATGTGCGGGAGCTAAGGGCTGCCAAGAGTCCCTGCAGTGAAAGGAGTCCTCGCCCTACCCCTGACCCCTGTACGCTGTGTCCTCCGGCACAAGGGAGACTTTGGTTTGCTCCTGTGTTTAATGGAGGCCATAAACAGGGTGACTGTCGTGCTGTCGTTTGCTGTAGGTTACTTGGCATATGTGCATGACCCGGAAATCAGCCAACGTGTTCACGCTTCAGGGAGAGGGTGGTGTTAGCCGCTGCCTGTCTGCAGAACTGTGTAACACGTGGGCATATCCTCGAGGTCTTGTTATACATCCGAGAATGCCCTGAAAGTGGCCTAGGTCCTGGTGCTTGTTTATCGTACCTGAGTCTACTGTGAAGGCTGCAAAACTATGAATACGCGTGCTGGTGTCACGTCACGTGTGTGCGTGGGGGCTGTAGTTCTGAAGGTTCAGCATGTGCTATGCCTTTGCTCAGCACGATTGTCATGTACCGAAGGCGTGAGTCTATGGAAGACTCGAGAATCTAGGGGATCCTGCGATTGTGGGTGCTTGAGATCTGCCGTGTGGGTGTGCATGTGTGTGTTTGGGTGTACTGTACGTGGGCATGTATGTACCTGTATGTATGTGCTTGTGTGGGTGTGTACAGTGTATAGGCATGTACATGTGTGTTGTACATATGTGTTTGTGAGCATTTTGTATATTTATAAGTATATGTGTGTGTATCTGTGTGGGTGCATTTATTTATAGATATGTATGTATGGTGTGTGTGCATCTGTGCATGTATGTACATGTGAATATGTGTGTTTATGTGTGTGTATCTATGTGCAGTGCCTGTGGGTGTGTATATTTATAGCTCTGTGTGTGTGTGTCTGCATGTGAATGTGTTTGTAGGTGTGTATGTATGGGTTTGAGTGTGTGGATCTGTGCAGATGCCCATGTGGGTGTGTGCATGTGCTTTGTGTAAGTGTGTGTGTGTACTGGGATGCTAGAACACACTTGTGCCCCAGCCAAGGCCCCTTATCTTTGTCCCCTGCAACTTCCAGATAGCTGAGCACTTGGTAGGGCTGTCAGCTGACCTGGGGTTGGGGGACGTTGGGAGGTAGAATGAAAACAGCGGCTGCAGGGAGTGGGGCCTGGGGGCTGTAAAAGCCTCGTGGATGAGGAGGGGCTGCCTCAAGACCGCACGGTAATGCTGTCCACTTTGCCCCATCTAGTGCCAGGTCACCAGATGGAAAGCGAAAAAGAAAGAACGGCCAATGTTCCCTGAAAACCAGCATGTCAGGTGAGCCTGGCTGGGTGGACCCCTCTTGCTACCATTGCTCCCCCATTCCCAAACCAGGCCAGGCTGCTGCGGGCCATGGAGGGGTGCGGTTTGTCTGGCCTGAGAGGGCTGAGCAGGACTTGCCCCAGCCTTTGCGGTGCCTCTTCTGCTGCAACCCCAGCTGTTCACCTCAGATCCACACCAGCAGCACCTGGAGCTCCAGGCCATGGGCTTCTACCCCTTAGATGGGAACGAGCAATCAGCATTGAGGGTCTCCATCTTCTGGGGGTTGTGGACAAGATGACCTGTGTCTTGTCAGTGGTGGAATGGTGTTCACAGGCTAGAAAGGGAGAGCTGGGGAATGTCCCAGCTTGTAAGCCATGCCTGCCTCCTCCTTCCCTCCCTCCCAGGGTATATCCCTAGCTACCTGGACAAAGATGAGCAGTGTGTCGTGTGCGGGGACAAGGCAACTGGCTACCACTACCGCTGTATCACTTGTGAGGGCTGCAAGGTATGCACCAGCCACCTCCTGTCCCTCCCCTGCCCGCTGAGCCCCCAGAACCTGGCGTGACAAAGCCACCTATCATCTCAGCATTTTCCTCTCCTATTTATTCATCTCTTTGTTAATAGTCCCTGTTCTAAGTAAGTGATCTAACTTCCTTCAGCCTCCATTTCTCAATCTATGAAATGGGGATATCAAACGACCTCATGGAGTTGTTAGGAGAATGAGATGTAGTCATTCGCATGAAGTGTTTTTTTAATTCATTATTTATTTATATTGAAAAGGCAGATATCCAGAGAGAAAGATCTTCCATCCACTGGTTCACTCCCCAAATGGCCACAATGGCATGAGCTGAGCTGATCTGAAGCCAGAGGCCGGGAGCTTCTTCCAGGTCTCCCATGTGGTGCAAGATTCCAAAGCTTTAGAGCCATCCTCTACTGCTTCCCCAGGGCACAAGCAGGGAGCTGGATGGGAAGTGGAGCAGCTGGGAGATGAATTAGTGCCGCTATTGGTTGCTGGTGCTTGGAGGTGGAGGATTAGCCAATTGAGCCAATGCACTGGACCGTGCATGAAGTATTTAACACAGAAATTGCACATGGAAGAAGTAGTTAAGAAATGGCAGGTGCCACAGTCCTATTCTCAGAGTGAGGATTGCAACAGGTACCCTGCCCCCAAGCTGCCTACAGCCCACCAGAGAGGGACAGACTTCAAACAAACCTTGGTACATTTTTTCCTTCCTTCCTTCCTTCCTTCCTTCTTTCATTTTTTTAAAAGATATATTTATTTGAAAGAGAATTACAGAGACAGAAGTAAAGAGGCCTTTTGCTTTGACCATTTGCTGCTGCTACCCAGGTGCACTAGTGGGGAGCTAGGTCAGAATCAGCAGCCAGGACTCGGGCTGCTAACAGGGCAGGCAACTGCTGAACCTGGTGTGCCATAGTGCCAGCCCCCACATGTCAGTGCTTTGCAAAATGTGAATCATGGACTATGTGGAGTAGTAGTTGAAATGATGGTTCCCAGGTTGCATCTTACCCCATCTTTTGTGGTGGAGTCCAGAAAACACCCTCAATGCTCTGCCATACCCGAGTGGGTGCCAACCCATGCTGGGGGCCATGGTGGGTACAGATGCAAATGGCAACTCTCCCTGGAGCAGCCAGGACACAAACCTGCACCCATATGGGATCCTGGCATTTGAAGGAGGAAGATTAGCCAATTCAGCCATGGTCCTGGGCCTGCTGCTTCACTTCTGACCCAGGCCTCTGCTCACAGCCGGGGGAAAAGCAGCAACAGACAGCCCAATTCTTTGGACTCCTACATCCACGTGGGACACTCAGAAAGAAGCTCTTGGTTCCAAGCTTTGGATCAGCTCAGCTCTAGTCATTGTGGCCATCTGGGACGTGGACCAATGGATGGAAAACTCTGTATACATATATTTAAAAGGCAGTGTAACAGAGACAGAGTGATCTTACACGTGCCAATTCCTGTCAGAAGCCAAGAACCCAACTCCATCCGGGTCTCCTAAGCACTTGGGCCATCTTCTATGTTCCCAGGCATATTAGAGGGGAGCTGGATTGAGAAGTAGAGCAGCTGGGACTCCAATCAGTGCTCAGAGATGGGATGGTGGGAGCAGGGGACAGGGACAGCATAGGATCACCGCCTCCTGAAAATGCAAGAGCTTCCAAGAAATCAAACTATTTGAAAACCTGTTTTGAGGTTTCTGTCAGTGTCATGTAAACCAACAGTGCCAGGGGTTTGGCATTCCTGGATACAACACAAGCAGTGTGGCTCAGAGTGGTCCCCTGAGAGCTTCCTAAAAAAACGATGGCAGAAAACGCCTTTGCTCCCTGCACAAAGCACTTGGTTTCTGCAGGTCACACACACCCCACTCCCACTCTGCACCAGGCCCAGGATTTTACATCTCTGAGAAGTGCTCCAGGTGATTTTTAGCACGCTGAGAGTCGAAGCAGCACTCAGAGCAGGCTGTCTCCACTCTGACCCCAGTGTAGACAGACGAGGCTGGGCCAGTGGCTTCCTTTACTCTGCAGCCTGGGAAATGGTAATAGTTTCTACCTCCCGGGGTTAGCATCAGGGTTAAATGTCCGAAGGAGGAAGAAGAGATGGTGTGAAAAAGGAGTCATCTTTTACTCTGCTTAGCATATAGTAAGTGCCAGCTGAGATTTGAGGTTTTTCCTTTCCAGCAAAGAACAGTCTTCCTATGTGGAATTGAAATGGTTCCACTGGAGGTCCTACCCAGTTCCTTCTGGTGGAGCCATGCCCTATAGCTCATAAATTCCACCTGCCAGGGCAGCCGGCAACATACTATATGTGAGAGTGGCTTAGGATTCTGTATTGCTCTTCCAGTAATTTAGCAAGAAGGGAAATAAGATACTGACTGGACTTCCAAAGTACCCATAGCCCTTTACTCCATACCCTGCTCTCCTGCTGCAGTCCTTCCCCTCTTCTGCCCCTCCATGGCCCAGGTGCCCTCGTCCCTGCACAGGCGGTCTGGTTAGTGCAGGGGGCCTGTCAGAGCCCCTTGCTCCAGGAAGATGCCAGCTTCTTTCACTACTCTTCCTCCTTTGCCACTGTGATTGGTTCTGCTCCATCTCCCTGTCCCTACCCCCAGGGCTTCTTTCGCCGCACAATCCAGAAGAATCTCCATCCCACCTACTCCTGTAAATATGACAGCTGCTGTGTCATCGACAAGATCACCCGCAATCAGTGCCAGCTGTGCCGCTTCAAGAAGTGCATCGCCGTGGGCATGGCCATGGACTGTAAGGGACATGGTGGGGAGAGCTGAGCCCGGTGGCCGGGGTGGGGTGGGAGTTCCAGAAGAACAGCTCCCTGCAGGGTAGCCATAGGCGCCACAGGAACAGTGACATCCAATGTGGGTCAGGCTGATGGGAGGGTGTTCAGCGTATGGGCCCTGGATGCCCTCATCCCTGGGAGGGGGACGGGAGGAAACAGGCTTCCTTGTGTGGGCCCTGTACCCACCTGAGACCCTCACAGAGGGGGTTGTTGATAGAAAGAGCTCCTGCATACCCCCAGCACAGGGTTCCTATCTCCACTTCCAGGTAAGGGGGTGGAGGTGTCTTTCATGGGTTAGGGGTTGGATGGCAGGATCTTCCAGGATCATCCATAAGTCGCTAAAACCAGAATGTGATATTCCTCTGGGGGTCAGCCCAAGTGGGAGTTGATGTGGGACCAGCCAATTGCCAGATGATTTAGGAAAGTCACTCAAGCTTTCTGAGCCCTCCAGGCCATGCACTCAGAAGAGGAATTTCTGAGAGGCCTGTGGGTGGGAGAGGGGAGGCCTCCCCTGCAAAGGGCTTTGTGTCTCTTGTGGTCAGTGGTTCTAGATGACTCCAAGCGAGTGGCCAAGCGCAAGCTGATCGAACAGAACCGGGAGCGGCGGAGGAAGGAGGAGATGATCCGGTCCCTGCAGCAGCGACCAGAGCCCACCCCCGAAGAGTGGGCCCTGATCCATGTTGCCACGGAGGCCCACCGCAGCACCAACGCCCAGGGCAGCCACTGGAAGCAGAGGCGGAAATTCCTGGTGAGGAGGATGCAGGCGAAGTGAGAATCTGGAGGTGGGGAGAGAAGCTGAGTCCTCTCGGTATGATCCAACCCTGGGCTGGCTGGCCGTCCTCGCTGCTGTGCACCCTGCAAGCATCATGGCCCTCTGGGTTGGGAGTTCTGTGAGAGCAAAGCCTGGCCATACTCATTGTGTTTGTCCTGTCAGGATGCAGTGACTAGGAAGGGAGGGTAAGCACACAGGCACATGAGCATGTGTGTGAGCACCTGCTAAATGCCTGGCACTGTGTTAGACTCTGACCAGGCAAATTACCACGCGAGTGATAAGTTAGAGAGGAGACAGCCAGTACGTGGTTGGGGGAGGTAGAAGACTGGCACCTGGTTGTTGGTGGAGGGTACCAGGGGTGGAACACGAACCAATACTTTCCTACCGGGCAGATGTGTGCATAGCAATTGGCAGTCAGAAGCCTGGGTTCAAATCCTGGTTCTGCCACTAACTAGTCATGGGACTTGGGCACTTGTGTAGGTCTCAGTTTCCTGATCTGTGAAATGGGGATTACTGTAAATAGCTTCCTTACAGAATAAGGAAAACATGCAGCCTCTGCCTGGCCGTGTATAAAGTGCCCAGTGGTCACCATTGCTGTTGGGATAACTCCCCTGCTGCTGCAGCTCCAGGGTCCCCGGTGGCCCCAAGTCCCCGAGTGGCCTTGGAGCTCCCCCTGGTGGGGAGGCGAAAGGGGTCTGCAGCCTCAGCTGACCACACACTTCCCCCCTCCACACCCCGCACCCCTTCATCAACGCAGCCGGATGACATTGGCCAGTCTCCCATCGTCTCCATGCCGGACGGAGACAAGGTGGACCTAGAGGCCTTCAGCGAGTTTACCAAGATCATCACCCCGGCCATCACCCGTGTGGTGGACTTTGCCAAAAAACTGCCCATGTTCTCCGAGGTGAGTATCCGATGGGAAGGGAGATGCGTGCTAGGGCTGGAGAGGACCAAGGGCAGCTCCTCAGCTCTCCTGGGGCTGGAATTGGCTCACCTGAGGTTTGCTAGAGAGGGAAAAGTTGCTGTAGTTCAGTACACACCCAGCATGTGCACACATATACACGTGCGTGCACACACCAACATCATGTGTCCACTCACGTGGCACTTCCATACATAGAAATATACTCACATGTATGTGTACACATGTGTATACATACAGCACAACACACTCACACATGTATACCCATCCACTCTCACACTCGTATACTTATACCCACATAGTATAGCACTTTAATCCAGACATACCTATGTAAATACATATTCACAATGCATACAAAATGCACACTAACGTGTATGTGTACAGCAACACCCCGCCCTGCACATGTGTACATATGTGTTCATAGGTGTTCACACAAATGCTGTTGTGTGTGCCACATGTGTACTAGCATGCTTGTATGGATAGCCAGTACATTCACACATATGTACATGCACAGTGATACACATGTGCACGCACATACACACATATGCATTGCACACTCCAGGCCAACTGATCTAAGGATGGGCTGACCCAAGGGCCTGCCTCCCCAGCCCGTCTCCCCTCAAGTCTGCATGGCCAACTCACTGTGGAGCATACTGCCCTAATCGCTGCTGGACTTTGGCCAAGTTCCCACACCTCAATTTTCTCATCAGCAGGGATTCTGGGGATGGAACAGGACCTAAGGCACAGGCGTGTGTGTGCATGGATGCATGGGTGCAGGGAGAATATGTCTTACTGGCTTTAGCCAGTGGTGCTCTCACAACCCCCGGAAGGGGCTCTCCGGCGTATGAAGTAGAGGGTGCTGAGTGCTCCTGTGGCCCTGCCACTCTGCAGCTGCCTTGTGAAGACCAGATCATCCTCCTGAAGGGGTGCTGCATGGAGATCATGTCCCTGCGGGCGGCTGTCCGCTACGACCCCGAGAGCGACACGCTGACGCTGAGCGGGGAGATGGCCGTCAAGCGGGAGCAGCTCAAGAACGGCGGCCTGGGCGTCGTCTCGGACGCCATCTTCGAACTGGGCAAGTCACTCTCTGCCTTTAACCTGGATGACACGGAAGTGGCTCTGCTGCAGGCTGTGCTGCTAATGTCAACAGGTACCTGCTGGAGGGCAGGGAGGGCATGGTGCGAGGCTGCCGCGGGACCTAGGGCTCTCCCCCAGCCTGGATCTCATGGTCTCTTGGCCCCTGAGCCCACCTCTGTCATCCAGGACCCTCTAGCTGCTCAGCCCCTGCTCTGTTGTCCTCCTAGCCCCCCAGACCCAAGCCCATCTCTTCTCCCTCTCCCCTGCTTTTTCTCTCCATTCGCATGTCCTTGGGTTCCCCACCCCCACTGGATTCCCATCTCTCGTCCCCAATGCTTTCCCATCCCGCCTCTCTGACACCAGCCTTTCCCTGTACCCCCAGGAGGTCTCCCAGTCTCCACTGTCCCATGCCAGGCCCACCCTCTATCCTCTTTGAGCTTCAGCTCGCTCGTGCCTTGCAGCCACTCCCACATGTGACCCTCACTATGAGTCCCTGCCTTGCTCTCTCGCAGCCTCTCTGCCTCTGTCTCCCTTGTGATTTCCGGCCCCTTTGCCCCGAGCCCGTGTCTCCTTAGGCCCTCGGCCGCTCAGCCCTGGCACCCCTCCCTTCCTCTTCTCAGACCGCTCGGGCCTGCTATGCGTGGACAAGATCGAGAAGAGTCAGGAGGCGTACCTGCTGGCGTTCGAGCACTACGTCAACCATCGCAAACACAACATTCCGCACTTCTGGCCCAAGCTGCTGATGAAGGTGACTGACCTCCGCATGATCGGGGCCTGCCACGCCAGCCGCTTCCTCCACATGAAAGTCGAGTGCCCCACCGAACTCTTTCCCCCACTCTTCCTCGAGGTCTTTGAGGATCAGGAAGTCTAAAAGCCTCAGACGGCCAGGGGGTGTGCAGAGCTGGTGGGGAGGAGCCTGGAGAGAAGGGGCGTAGCTGGGGGCCGAGGGAGACACCCCCCCATACCTCTTCTCTCCTTCCTCTCACCCTTGGATAGATTCCACACATACACACATACACACAGACACACACAGACACACACACACACACACACACACACTGCCCAAGTCCCTCCTCAGAACTTATTATGGCCCTGGGACAGGGCCACAAATGAACTTCCTATGGAAAGGACAGTGTGGGAGGTGAAAGGGGGGAAGGTAGAGGAAAGGAGAGAGAGAAACAGAGTGGACAAGCCATCTTGGTGGTAGGGGAAGGAGGAAGTGGGGGCAGATGCCCTCAGCTTTCTCCCCATTCCCACCCCCCCAAGCACACACACGAGCATGCACACACACACACACACACACACACACACACACACGAGAGAGAGAACCCCCTGCCTGGGTCCTTGGCCGAGGTGGCTCCTCCAAGCTAAAGCCTTCTGTTCTTCCAGATGTCTGGGCTCCAAGAAGGGCTTGGCTCGGCTCCTCCCCCTGGGGGTTACACTTTCTAGTTGTTCTAACTGCACTTTGGAAACAAACAAGGGGAGAAGATAGATGAAGAAAACCTAGACGGAGAAAATGACAAAAAAAGAGCGCGCGAGAGAGAGAGAGAGAGAGCGAGCGAGAGAGCGAGAGCGAGCGAGAGAGATGATATTAAGTTATTAACTAAGGCTGGCCAGAGGGGAAGGACCCTGCCCCCCCAACACACACACACACACACACACACCCCATGCACTTTGAGAGCTGCCCTGCTTCCTCCTCAGATCGGAGAGAAACCTCCCTCCCCCAGACCCCACAGGTAGGGCTGCTGATCAGAGCTGTGAGCACACATGACAGGGTCCTGGCCACCCCCTTGCCTTGCCTTGCCTGCCCCCTCCTCCCTGTGTTCCTTTGGCAGCCCACCCTCTCCCTGGCCCAGTACTTCCTCTGCTCTCTGCTACTCGTGCCCGCTGAGTTCCATCTACCTCTCACGCTGGATGCCAGCTGGCCCCTCACCTCCTACCCTGCTGACCGCACAGCTCCTCTTTCAAGTGCCCAGCCACAGGGGCCTCTTCCCCTCCCCCTCTCATGCACACATAACACATACACACAAACACACACACACACACCTTGGCACTCACACAGGAATACGGTAGCTCTGGCTCCCGCCCTCCTCATATCATGCAGTATTAGCCACAGTCCAGACGCTGCTGCGCAGGGCACAGGCTGTGCTTGAGCGTCATCTCCCTACCCCGTTGGAATCGCCATGCCTTCCTTGGCCATGACGTGGTGGGACTTGGTGTGGCCCTGTTTCCCCATCTGTCTTCTGGGCTCTCTCTAACCTCTGCCCTCCTCCCTCCTTGCTCCCATGCAATGCACTCATCCTGACTGGGCGGGCAGGCATCAGAATGGGGGTGTCCAGGTCAGTGGCACTTCTTTGGGGCCCTGGGGGTGGGGTGATTGGATGCTTCCTCATCCTTTGGATGCTCTACAGATCAGCCATCTTCAGCCCCCTGGGACCCCTTCCCCTCTTCTTTTCTCTAATTCAGGGACTTTGGCTTGAGCCCCCTCCCACCCGCCTGGTGAGGAGTGCTCTGTTGGTCTGCACTTGGAGCAGCTGGCTTCCTCCTCTACTTCCTTCTCCCTTTGGCTAAAGCAGCTCCCCAGGGGCGCAGGGGCAGGGGGTATAAGTGAGGAAAGGAGGCAAGGAGAGGGCAGGGAGCGGCAGCACAGACCAGCGGTCCCTGGGCTCAGGGCTGCAAGTCGGCAGGGATGGATGGGTGGACATAGATGCCCCCCGGAAGCCATGGGGACTGGGGCAGGGGTGGGGGGAGGGTGCCAGGGCTTCCTGCGCTTTGCACTATTGGGGCAAACATGTCTTAAGCAGTGGGGAACCTGTCACCTCACCCCGACCCTTAGCCTGCCGCAGCCCCCTCCACACCAAACACACACACACACACACACACACATATACACATACACACATACCACGTGTGCACCCGCATACACAGGAAGGCAATGCTATGCTGCCCACCAAGGTAGGGTCCTTCCCTGCTGTTCAGGTGTTCCCATGGGGGCGGAGGGCCTGGAGGAGCATCTTGTCACCTGTGCATGTGCCTGCCCTGCCCCACTGGGGCCCCGGGCTGCCCGTGCCGTCTTTGTCTCTGTGCCCCCCACCCCACCCTACCTGCTATGTCTCTCCTGGGATACTGAGTCCTATATGACTCCAGGCCCATGGAGAAGCCCTCTTGTACCTGGCTCCCATGCCTGGGAGCCCCAGTGGAATTCCTGACCTGTCTGCTGTCTACCCCATTCCTTTCTTCCCATCCCTCGCCCTCCATACCTGCTCCTCCTTTCCAGCCATGGACTTGCTGAAGGAAAGGCCCAGAAGAGCCTTGGTCTGCTCCAGGCACTTGGGAAACCTCCCCTTACCCTACCCTTCCCGCCTTCCCCAATCATATGAGCTGTGATCCCCTTCCACCCCCAGGGGCCCCTCCCCCTGCCCCTCAGCAATGTGGGGTGTATGTGTGCGTTTCTCTGCGTGAATGTGTGAGTGAGGACGCATGGTGGGGGAGGAGCCAGGAGACTCAGGAGTGCCACGCATCTGTCTCGAGAGGCAGCTGTCCTAGTCCCTGCTGAGGAAGTGGGGGACAGGGCCCTTCCTGGGGGCCATTGGTGCTAATGAGGGGGTGGCCCTGACGTGGGTGCTTGGCACACCTCCCCCAGTATTGGCCTGGGCACTAGGGCAGGCAGGGTGGGGCAGCGGGTGCAGTATTGATGGGCGGATGGGTTTGCTGGGAAGAGGATTGGGGGGGGCCAGGCCAGGACTAGGGAGTGCCAGAGCCATGACCACTACCCCGCCCCACCACCCACCTCTCCATCTCAGTATTCCCCCTCCCATCACTTAGAACACACATACCTCATCCAGTCTCCTCCCTGCTCAGAGTTGGGGAGGGTGGAGGAGGAGGAGCTCCCACCCCTTCCCCAGGGGGGCGGGTCTACAGGGCTGGGAGAGGCCAGGGCGGGTGACAGACACCGTCCAGAAGGGGGGACAGGAATTCCTGCCCTGGGAACTCCTGGGTGGGGGGAGGGGACACTGCCCAGAGGCGCTACTGAATGTATGAGAAGCTGGTGCTGGGGTGGGGGGGAGGGTTGGGGGAGGGCTGTGGCCAGAAACAGGGAAGGAGGTAGGTCTCTTCCCCAGGGAGGGGCGGGACCGGTAGGGGTGACATGAGGGGCTCCTACTCCTGCCCCACGTTGACAATCAGTATGTCTGTTATGTGCGATTTTTCACCCCGTTGTGTTTTGGGTCAGGATTTTAAAGAAAGATATTTTTATGGTAATTGTTGCTCGTCTATTTTACTATATATTTATGTAATAAATATATGATGAAAATCACCCCCTTGGGCACCCCCCTTAGACTTGCGTGCTGTTTCCCTATATCCTCCCATCTGTTGGCAGAGTACACGCCCCCAAGCTGACCAGATGGAGAGGTGTCCCCTTCCCCCAGCCTTGGCAAGAATCCCACCTTAGCCCCATCCCACCCCATCCCCCCAAACGAGCACACACCACAGAAGCCAGCTCAGCTGTGAACTATTGGATTTGAGACAAGAACAGAACAAATCGGGGGGCCATAGAAGGGTGGGAGCCAGGGAGTGGTTTAAATAGGGAAGAGGGTGGGAGGTGGGGGAGGGAGGCAGATATTTACAAGAAGGCTCAGGGGGCCCGAAGCTCATCTTGGAATATTTTATAACAATATAAATAAGATTCTGGTTTGCTTTTCCTTTTCGTCTCGTAAAGGAGAGAGAAGTGCAGAGTTCGATTCTGTACAAGGGGGCAGCGGCGGCAGGCCGGCCGGGCGGGTCACTGGGCGTCCACCCGGAAGGACAGCAGCTTCTCGGAATGCATGTTGTTCAGGGTCCGCAGGTCCGGCAGCTTGAGCAGCAGCTTGGTGAAGCGGGACGTCTCCGAGGGCCGGTTCTTCAGCACCAGAGCCCGAAGAGCCCGCAGCAGCGTCTCCTGGAGCTGCTCCACCGAAGCGGAATCCTCCATTCCCGAGCGGTCTGTGGGGAAGACGACAGCAGTGAGGCAGACTCCCTGAGCTCCTCTGACGAGGAGGACCCGGAGGGCTGCAAGGAGGAGGAGAAGCAGGAGGACCGGGCAGGCAAGGCAGCCTCCCCCTGAAGCCTACCCTCTGAGGGGCCACCAGCCCGCCCGGGAAGGGAGGAGGAGCTGCAACTCCTCCTCCCAGGCATGGATCCCACGGCTGGAGGTGCCTGTGTGTGTGTGTTGTGGGGGGGGGGGGCGGGAGCTCAGCAGGGCTGGCCACCGCCCATCCCACCAGACCGCCCTTCCTCCCTGAAGGGGCCACACCTGGCCAGGCTCCCTCACTTTTTTGGCTCTGTAGTTCCCTCTGCCTGGGACACCCTTCCTCGCCTCCACGCCCACCCCCTTCTCTGCCTGGCAACATCCTAACTTGTCCCTGAGGCCTCAAGTGTCACCTCCTTTCCCAGCTCACCCAGGCAGAAATAGTTGTGTGTGCTTCCCTTGCTTCTACTGTGACACTTATCTCACTGTTTTATAATTAGTCGGGCATGAGTCTTGTTTCCCAAGCTAGACTGTGTCTGAATCGTGTCTGTATGGCCAGTGCCCAGTGCAGAGCCTGGCATAGGGTAGGTATTCATAAAAGGTGTGTTCAATCCAACTGCGTCTGCCTCCTCCCCGCGGGCGGCCGGGGGCTGGACCCACCTGCAGAGACAAGCACCACCGCCGTGAAGAGACCCAGCTCCTCCTCGGTCAGTGCCAGGGAGTTAAGCTTCTCACTGAAATCGAACATGGCATTGAGCAGGTCTCCCATGCCCATGGCGCCGAGCTCCTGCAGGCTGTAGGTGGTGCGGCTTAGGAACATTACAGTCTGGTCTTTCACGTTGAACAGAGAAGCAAACCGCACCATCAGTACCTAAGGCAGAGATCACTGCGGGTGAGGCGGGAGGAAGCCCAGGAGTTTGCCCCAGGGTTGAGGGGTACTGCCTTAGATTTCTCAGTTGGTAGGGGGAGACCCATACAGAAAGTCAGGGAGCATGGGCTTGAAAATGTGACAGGCCACGGACCTTAGGTTAGACACTGCCCCCGAGGGAACTGCCTCCTGCTTGGAAGGGTATGGGGGGCATCGTGTACCCCGAGGTGTCATTTTAACATAACAGGTTGTTGTGATTAGCAGAAATGACAGGAGACCTTGATGCAGTGGGAGGAGGGGGAATGTCACTTTGCCCTTCTGTCAGACTGTCATTAAGTCCAAGACACTGGGGTTCCAGAGCCTGTTGGGGCCCCTCCCTACCTCAGGCACCAAGTCCTTCTGCTCCACTTTTCCCAAGGTCAAGAGTAGGGAGGACAGTGACTTACCTCAAAGGTTCCCGCCTTAAGCAGAGTGACCTGGTCATGCTGAGAAAGGTCACGGAAACCAGGGATGTGCTTAGCAAATTCCACCACCTCCCGCACAGCGGGCGTGAAGCTCATGGAGAAGTCTTCCCAGATCTCCTGCACGGTCCGGCCACTGCGCCCGTGCGGGTACATGTTCATAGGGCATGCCTGGGGAAGAAGGGGAGTGTCAGCCAGGCAGTGTCACTCACAGGAGATTCTCCCAGCCAGGGAGGACTGTGCCCCAGATTCCACCTGCACTGGGGACTATGACCCCAGAGGATGGATGTTGTAGGCAAAGTGGCAATTAGGTGCCAGGTGGAGATGAAGGATTCTCAGACCAAGCCTTGGACTGCAGGTCAGGAATCCTCTCCTGGGAAGAGAGTTACCCCACACTCAGCCTCTAGGCACCCCCAGCTGTCCTAGGCCAAGTTCATTCTTCCCCGCCCCCTGCCCTCCTCACCACCCCATGCCCTCACCAGCAGAACATTCTTAGAGTTGCCTTGCCGTGGACTATTGGCAGGTGCCTCTCCTTCTGGGGCTGCATACATATGGGTGGGGCATAGACGGTGCCCGTTGCTGTTGGTCTGGTGGCAGCTGTGGTGGGCAGGGCCGGGGGGCCAGGTGGGAGGGTAGGAGGAAGGGGTCTGGCGTAGACCATTGAGGACCTCATTATGACGCTGGGCAGCCAAGGCATTGTTGTCATTGGGGGCAGGTGGGCAGCCCTGATTTTCCCAGCGATGTGGGGTGGTGGCTGGAGGACTCCCCACTGCCTGGTTGGCATTAAAGTTGCCAGGTGATGTGCCCAGTTTGTCATGGGCATAGGTGAAGATCTCTCGGTGGGCCCGGGCCACCTGGGATATGACATCCTCCACAGTAGGCTCAGGGCTTGGAGATCTGGGTGGCGTCAGCTGTTGCGGGAACTGGGAGAAGCCCACCAGGGGTGAGGGCACTGCAGCAGGAGGAGGTGGCGAGGGGCCCATGGGGCCTGGGGTGGGGTGCTGGATGGGAGAGTTCTCCAGCGGACACTGGCTGCTCAGCTGGTTGTTGGCCAAGTTCATGGCACTCTGCATCTCAGCAAGCATCCTCTGCTTTTCTCGTTTGGGGATACGCCCAAAACGCACGGCTGTGACAGGATGAGAAAAACATCAGGAAGTTCTCAGGTGCATTCACACACATCCCTTCCTTCCCTTCTCTCTCCTCGAAGGGCAGGATCCCATACGCAAGGTGGGGATATGAGGAATGTTGCATGTTAAAAGTAAAATGAGTGAGGCCGCGCCCATCAAGGGGCTTTGCCAAATAGGCGTGTCCAGCAGGAGAGTGACAGGACACAGGACAATGTGTGGACGTGAGAATGCAAGACACAGATATCTCGGTGTGGGAAATCGTGAGGGAAAGATGAGCTGAGGAGCTGGTTGGAAAGAGGGGCGGGCTGTGGATTGCAGCCTCACCGTCTCGGGACATGCCCACGGAGAGACACTTCTTGAAGCGACACTGCTGGCACCGGTTGCGGTTGATGCGGACGATGGAGCAGTTCTCGTTTTTCAGACACCGCTTGTACTGGATATTCTGCTGGATACTCCGACGGAAAAAGCCCTGGAGGGCAGGAGCGCCTAGTGAGCCCAGCCAACCCCTTCCGGCCCTGTGACCTCCCAGGGGAGGCCTTCCTCTGCCACTGCCCTTACCCTATGTCTGCCTCACCTTGCAGCCCTCGCAGGCATGTACTCCATAGTGGAAGCCCGAGGCGACATCCCCACACACTTTACACAGCAGCACCATACCATTGAGCTCTGTGGGAAGAGAGGACTGTGACTAAGCTGGGGAAGGCTGGGTTCAGTGGCCAGGGATGGAGGGACGGAGGCTTTCTGGGTCAGAGACAGCGAGGAGGAGCTCCAAGAGCTAGGAGCACTTGGTGATCAGACTGAGCTGGCCGGGGGTTGGGGCAGCTCCAGGAGGAACCCCCAAGACCAGGGGTCAAATCCAACCCAGCCCTTGCCTGCTTCCCTGCCTCCAAGTCAGTTGGCAGTCTACTCACTGGTGATGTTGCTGGTGCTTTTGCTAGGGGACACTCGGCTGCTGTCCTCCATGGCCACTTGTAGGCTCCCTGAGGGACTCCCATTATAGAAGGAAGATGAAGAGGAGGTGGAGGAGGAAGAGGATGAGGAAGAAGAAGGGGAGCCATCATCACTCAGGTTGGCTGGAATGCTCCCAAAGGAGCGAGCCGGGTCCTGCGTGAGGGAGCCCGTGGGTGATGGTGGCAAGTACGTGGGGCAGCCGTGGGGCAGGGACTGGAAGCTGCCGTTGGAGCTGTCGCTGTAGAGGGATTCAGGGCTGGTACGGCTCGGGGAAGAGCCGCTGGACCCAATGTAGGTGATGACGCCACCTGGTGAGAAATGGCAAGCAAAGGAGTATCAGGTGCTAGGCTTTGGGTGCCAGAACATATGCACCTCTCCCAAACCCTGCTGGTTATACTCAGAGAGTTAACCTCCTGGAGCCCCTAACCTTGAAGTTGCTAAGCAGCTCCTCAGGGCACACAGGTCATGGCATGGAAAGCCAACAGCTGCCACACTTTGCAGAATCCACTGAGCTCCTTCTCTGGGTGTGAGGGTGACCCCTGTGGGCACCTCCCTTGTGTCCCTCTCTGTCCTAACCACCGTCCTCAGGGCATGACTCCAGGTAAGGACTGAGTTCACAGCATGGCAGAACAAGGGATGGGATGAGCCGCTGAGAACTCGTCACCATGCCCTCTCTCCCCAGAATCATTATCATCAACTGCCCATTTTCATCCCGGGACCTTCCTAGGGATGAGATCAGAGGTCACAGATGCATGGCTGATAATAAACAGGGTGGGGAGCTTGACAAAAAGAAGCCAGCCACCTGCCCACTTCACCGGGTGACCTTTCCTCCAAAGGAACAGGAAGAAGAAACATGCCCTGCCAAGCTGCCCTGGCCTCAGAATATTATCACAGTGGACTCTCTTATCTGGGAGTCCAGCAAAGACTGGGTACGGCCAGACTGAGCAAGGTGGGCCTGCAGTGGCAACAGTCCAACCCATGGCTCCGGAGTTCCCCCTTTCAGATCACAAGCTGGGTGATAACCCCAGTTCTCTGGCCACTCAGGGACCTCAGTCTCTTAGTCTCCCAGCATCCAGGTGGCTCTGCTCCCTCGGTGTTAGAAGAAGGTGACCTGCCCAGCACACATTTGCCAAGCACCTAGTTTGGCCTGCCCCGGGTGGGGCAGGAGAAAGGAGGATCCCAGGACACGTGTGAGCTGACACATGCCATGCCACCGTGTCTGCAGAGGCACATGTCTTGCTCACCCACTGACACACACTAAACTGGGCAGGGCAGTCTTTAAATAGCTCAAGGTTGATCAGGGTGAACCTAGCTCCCTGTAAAATAGTTGCACAACAGATAAGCTTCTGCAGTTTCAGGGCCAAGGTGGGGGATGGGATATTTATTTGATGGTAATGAATGTGACCTGGTTTCCTCATCCCGCCCCCCTCCCCAAAAGACAAGGTAAAGACTTTCATCCAAAGTGACTGGAACCTGGAAGTGAGCAACAGGCTCAAAACAGTCTCTTCTCACATTTATCACCACCAACTTGCTTAGTGACCTAAAGGAAATCAACTCCCCCCACCGGGGTTTGGTTTTCCGGAGAGGGTGTGGGAAAGAAGACGGAAAAACAGGAAGGTTTCTTGCTGGGGATCTGGGATGCCGGTGCTTTGGGGGAAATCCTAAAGAGGTAGGCTGCCTTGTGCAAGGTGGATGGAGGTCAGGGCAAGTGTGCCTGCGGGACCCAGGAGAGAAAAAATGTGGGACATGAGGGAGCGGAGTCTAAACTCAGCACCAAGCAGGTGCCGACAGAACAGGGAGCAAAGCAGAAGGATGCTTGGGTGGGAGCCCCCTGTGGGGAACGCGAGGCCATCAGAGGTCAGGGATCTCCATCTTCTCCTGGGGGGGCGGGGAGGGTGGACGGGCCGGGCAAGCCGACAGGAAAAGGAGGCAGGCGGGGGCGGTGAGTCAGCCCAGCTTCACCCAGATCTCGGCAGGGCGGGGCGGGAGCCCGGCCCTCAGCCGTCCTCACGTCCCCGTTCCACGTGTGCCTCTCGCACGTGGCTCCCCAACGAGGAACCCCGGAACTCGGGGCTCCGCCCTCCCCGCTTCCCGTCCGCGGGGAGCAGCGGCCCCTCCCCGGCGTCCGGGGCCCAGGCTGGCCCGGGACGGCCGAGGGGAGGAGAGACGGGAACACGCGTTGCCGGGGCAACCTGGGGGGGCGGAGCTCATTATGTAACGGGGCCGGGAGGTAAGGACCAATGGGGTGGCGGCCACGGCTTGTGCTGAATGAAAACAAACGCAGCACGTGGGCCCGGCTCGGTGGCCATGTGAGCCCAGGCGGCGGCCGGGGAGCGGTGGGTGCGCTCCCGGAGCCGGGCACCACGCTGCGGGACTCCGCCGGGGCTGTCACGGAGGATTCCCCCAGGGACAGCCAGCTCCTTCCCCGGGCCCCTTCTGCCCCAGCCCCGAGCGCTCCACGGTGTGTCAGGTTCCCTGGAGCCTGCGGAACTGGAGGAAGGGTTAAAAGGCAGAGGGGCCGTCCTTTACCCGAGGTTAGAGATGCCGCAGCTGCAAGGGTGGACACGTGGGGCCTTTCGGCAAACTGCCCGGAAGCTCCCAATCCCCCTCAACTCTTCAGGACCGCACGCCTACCGGTTCTCTGTTCCTTCCTGACCCGTGAGAGTCCTTTAGGCTCAGCGAAGCTTTGGGGCTCGGAGGAGCAAGAACAACCCGCTCTGCCAGTCCCACCCTACGTCCCGGTCGTCTCGCTGGCCGTCCCCTGCCCCTCCGGAGTCCCCTTACAAAGTTGTTCTGGTCAGAAGGCGTAGAGGGAGGTAGGGAAGCAGCGGCGGGACCAGGATGATGACAGGAGGAAAAATCTCAGTACCTGTGTTATTGTTGGAGTCCAGGGTCGTCATGGCTTCACCGGCCGACAGCGGTCATTCACACTGGGCCTGGACACAGACTGGAGGTTGCGATGGTCGCTGGCGCCCCCCGGGCACTGGCTGAGGGCGGGGAGTGGACCCCGCGGCTGACACTCAGGCTCTGAGATGCTCTGCAGCAAGGTCTTGAGGCGGCCGGACTGCAGTCCTGAGGAAGGCTAGGACGCGGAGGACACGGAGCTCTGCTTCGCATGGGAAGAGCAGAGAAGAGTGTTGGAGGGCAGGGAATGGAGAAGCAGCCTGCGGTAGCTCTCTGCCTAGAAGGCGGCAAGGAGGCTCGGATCTCTGCAGTGCACCGGCTGCCGGCTCCGCAGCGCTGCAGGATAGCCGAGCTAGAGCTCCCTGTGCAAAAGTCCCAGAGGGAGCGAGGCTGCAAGCAGGAAGTAAGTAGGTGATGGCGAGAAACGGGGCGCCCGGGCGCAGAGAAGCGAGACGTGTGCCCCGCTACGTTCCCTCAGCAGCAGTATTTCACTCTGCCAAGCTCAGCCGCCTTTTGCCCGAGCCTTTGCCTGGGACAGAGTGCTCTGCGCAGGCGCCAGCAGCCCAGGGTTCCCGGGCCGCACGCGGCACTGGAGCAGGTACCATGTGATCCCAGGGAGCGCCTCGTGCCCCAGTGACACACTTTTCCAGCAGCCGGCACGTTGAGCCCCATGCGCCTGCGCGGTGCTGAGGCTGTCGGGATTTGTAGTCCACTGGTTAAGGACCCCTTTCTGCTTTGCTAACGCGCTTGCAGGAACGGGAGAGGAGCTGAGAGTGGAGTGGGGTGGAGTGTGCTCCACAGGCAGGGTGGTGTGTTTGGAAAGCCTGTGAGGCAAGGGCATGTGAATTCCTGGGGCGGGACTGGCCAGCTTGGCAGCTCCCCAGGAGATCAAAGCTAACAGGCCTTTTCTGCAAACCTTGCAAACGTGAGGGCTTCACGTGATTGCAGGGCTGACCTCTCCCTGAGGTTAGGTTGGCGCTGCAGGGAGAGGCGCGGAGAAGGGTAGAGGGGGGAGGGGGGCTCGGGGAGGCAAGGGAGGGAGATTTCCCCCGGAGGAAGGAGCTTAGGCTGCCTTCTGCCGTGGAAGGCGAAGAAACGTGATCCTTAATTTCTCTTCTTCCCTGAGAGTACCCACCTTTTACCCTTAGGGAAAGAAGTGCCCAGAGGTGGGGATGACCCCAGGGAGTCCCTGTTTGCTTATGTGACACCACTCCACCCACTCGAGGTGACTTTGGGGTGAGTCATTTCCCTTTGTATGTGTGGAGGGAGGGGGGAGGACAACAAGAGAAGGGAACTTTATGGTGAAAGTGCTCCAAGGCCCTGGGATAAAAGGGCAGAGGTGAGGCAGGGTCTGGGGCCAGAGTTCCCACTCCACCCCTCAAAAATTGAAGACATCCTGTGGATTACACAGAGTGCAGCTCGGGGTTGGTGGGGGATCATGAAGATCCCCTTCATTCTTCCTCCTCTTACTGGAGAGGAAGATGAGGCTTGGAGGAAGAGAACTGGCCCAAGGTCAGACCTTCCTGGCTGGTTCCATCTACCCAGCCTGAGAAGGGTGGAAGAGCAAGGTGAATTCATCTGCCCCACTGGTGAAACACGCAGGCCTCACAAAGCAGCCGCTGCTGTTAGGAGAGCTTGGCTGGCAAGGAAAAGCAGGGAGCCAGCAATCATGTGAGCGGGAGCCTCACTCCTCCTCAGCCCAGCGTTTCCAGGGAGCGCTCTCTTAACCCAGGAAGCCCCTCTCCTCTCAAACACACGCAGCTCCAGGGACAGCACTGATGGATGCCCAGGCAACACAACGTGAAGGCCGAGAGGAATACAAGGGCAGCCAGGTTGCCAGTCCGTGAGGCCGACTGAAGGGAGGGGATGAAAGCTGACAACCTGCGGGAGGGGGACGCCCCAGCACGAGCTGGTTTGCACCTTTGTCTCCTAGTTCCCAAGAAAAGTAGGGTAGAAGAGACTGTGGACTGGGCCTTGGCCTGCCCTTGGCCCTCAGGCACACAACTGGGAAGCTGCAAGCTGGCAGTGGCCGGTGGATGTGGGCGGGACTGGGAGGGGCTGGGACAAACAAGGAAAGAGGCTTTTCAGGAAAACTTGGTTCTGAGCTCTGCCGCCAACCCCTTCTTCCTCCTCCCACGGGGCTCTGGAGGGAAAGCTGGGAAGTGAACTGCCAGCTCCTGGACTGTTCGACTCTGTGTCTGAGCCACAACCAGAGCCCACGGGGCTGGACCTAAATCAGGCCCTTGGTGAGATAGCCAGCTCCCCACAGCCGCAGATCTGCCTCAGGCACATTCCTTTTAACTGCTGGCATCTTGGCCAAGTCCCTCTACTCTGCTTGCTGCCCACCTGCTTCCTACTTGCTGGGTGTTGATGTCTGCAGGAGAAGGGCCCTCACCACTCCCTCTCTGAGTCTGTTGGATGGAGAGCTGTAGGGCCAGCCTCCCTCTCCTGAGGAGCAGGGGGAGCTGAAATTCAGTCAGCCAGGCTTTTGGCAAGAAGCCCGCTGGATTCAAAGTCTTTGTGTGGTATGAAGGCCAAGACTGGGGGAGGGGGAGGTTAAGGAAGGGATTACCTCTGTTCCCTTCCACTTCTGCATGTCTTATAAGACCCTTCCTTTACCCCCTTGGTAATTCTGGGGTTTTTCTTCTACAAGAAATGAAACAGAGGAGAAAAGGTTCCTCCTTGGCTTCAGAAACTTCTCATCTGCCACTCTTTCCCTTTCTCTGTTGGAAGAAGGGATGAGGCTGTTGTCTGTTTGGCACTTGGGGAAATGGGGACCTGAAGTAAAATCTTGGCCTCTGTTTGACCTCAACCTTAGCTTTAAGTCAACAGATGCATCTAAACACATCCTCCCTCTCCCTCTTATCAGGTGAACATTCCAGTTCGCTTCTACACACACACACACACACACTCACACACACATACGCCATTCCTTCCGTAGCCAAATTCAGAACAACAAGAGACTGAAAAAAAAAAATCCATGGGCCTGGCACTGTGGCCTAAATAACTGAAAAAAAGTCCTCATCTTGAACGTGCCTGGATCCCATATGGAAGCCAGTTCTAATCCTGGACACCCCACTTCTAATCTAACTCCCTGCTTGTGGCCTGGGGAAGCAGTTGAGGATCGTCCAAGGCTTTGGGACCCTGCACCCACTTGGGAGACTCGGAAGAGGCTCCGGGCTCCTAGCTTCAGATCAGCTCAGCTCCAGCCATTGTGGCCCCTTGGGGAATGAATCTTATGATGAAGGATCTTCTTCTCTGTCTCTCCTCCTCTCTGTGTATCTACCTTTCCAATAAAAATGGTTAAGTCTTTTTTAAAAATTCATTTGATGGGGGCCTGGCACGATGGCTCAATGGCTAAATCCTCACCTTGCAAATGCCAGGAACCCATATGGGTGCCAGTCTGTGCCCCAGATGCTCCACCTCCCATCTAGTTCCCTGCTTGTGGCCTGGGAAGGCAGCAGAGAATGGCCCTGCAACCCACATGGGATATCTGGAAAAGGCTCCTAGCTCCTGGTTTCCAATCAGTTCATCTCTGGACACTGCAGTCATTTAGAGAATAAGCCAGCAGATCCTCTTTCTTTCTTTGTTTTTTCCTCCTCTCTGCGAATCTGCCTGTGAAATAAAATAAATACTTTTGAAAAAAATTATTTGAAAGGCAAAGACTGAAATCTCCCATCTACTGGCTAATTCTCTGAATGCCCACAACAGCTGGTACTGGGCCAGACTGAAGCCAGAAGCTAAGAACTCAATCTGTGTCTCCTATATGGGTGGCAGAGACTCAAGTTACCTGAACCATCACTTGCTGTTTCCCAGGGTGCGTGTCTGCAGGAAGCTGGAATTGGGAGCTGAGCCAGAACTTGAGCCCAGATACTCTGAGATGTAAGCCTCCTAAGCAGTATGCACCAAATGCACAGGCTGAGCTGGACTCTATTTTTATATTTTATTATTATTTTTAAAGTTTTTTTTTTTCTTTATTGAAAAGGCAGATATACAGAGAGAAGGAGATACAAAGAGAAAGACCTTCTGTTGGCTGGTTCATTCCCTAAGTAGCCAAAATGGCCAGAGCTGAGCCAACCCAAAGCCAGGAGCTAGGAGCTTCTTCAGGATCTCCCACATGGGTGCAGGGTCCCAACACTTTGGGCCATCCTCTATTGTTCTCCCAGGACACAAGCAGAGAGCTGGATGGGGAAGTGGAACTGCCAGGATTAGAACTTGTGCCCATATGGGATCCTGGCATGTTCAAGACGAGGACTTTAGCCACTAGGCCACCACACTGGGCCATTTTTATTTTAATGTAAAAGAGTTACAAAGTGAAGCAGAGACAGAGAGAGATATCTCCATTTGCTGTTTCATTCCTCAGATGGCTGAAATGGCCAGAACTGGGCCAGTCCAAAGCCAGGAGCCAGTGATTTCTTCCAGATCTCTCATGTGGGTACCAGGGATGACACAAGGAACTGGACTATCTTTCCCTGCTTTCCCAGACATATCAGGGAGCTGAATTGAACACAGAAAAGCCTGAATTCAAATCAGTGCCCAAATGGCTTGTTCATACCACAGGGGGAGGATTAGTCTGCTATGCTGTGGCACCAGCTCCAGTACTGCATTTGTGATCACAACGCTCAGCTTGGGTCTGCATAGAACAGATGCATACCCGAGATTTGGCACAGCAAGGTGTGCTATGAGATTCTACCCGAATCCCAAGGTATTCTGGGGACTGAGCTCATTATGGCAGGGCAGTGTTGGCTCCTTGGTGTATGTTTCCAAATGTGTATTTCATGCTGGATTCTTTGGACTAAGACAGCAGAGACCTAGTAGAAGAAGGATTGAGTGAGCAACTGTATGCTCTGGCCACTGTGTGTGACAGAGAGAAAAATAAAAAGAGAAAGAGTGTTGGATTGTGAGCGTGGGCTGCGTGTCAGTGTGAGTGCAAATGCTACGCATATACATGGGTGTGTGCATTTGACCCATGATCTTTTCTCCTTGTCAGTAGGTTGTTTTAGGTAACAGGGCAACGCCCTGTGCCAGTCCAGAGTGTCCTACATCTAGGGCCCACTGCTTCCCTTACTGACTGAGGGCGGATCCTTGTAGAAAACAGGTCATGCTTCGCTTTGGGAGGTGCCTTCCCATCCCCCTCCTTTCTCACCAAGGAATCCTTACCCAAAGTAAAAAACCTGTTTGCCCAGGTGAGGCAAACCTGGGACAGAAACCCTGGGGATGCCCTTGAACCAAAGAAGCAGCCATGTGTTTGGGGAGCCTCATCCCCTGGCCTCTTGGATCCTTCTCCTGAAAGACTGGGTTGCTTTCCTCAGCCTCACCCCAAACCTCCAGGTCTTGGAGAGAACATTGCACAAGGAGGGGCAAGGTTGAACTCACTTGATCTTAGGGGAGAAAGGCATGACCCAGGCCTGGGTTCCACAGAAGCATTTTGCCTCAGAGTCTATCTCATCCTCATTTTTGGCTCTTTCCAAGGAAGGGAAATAATAAATATGTATTCAGCACTAACTGTATGCCAAGCATTGTGCTAAGGGCTTTACACACATTCTCTCACTTAATATTCACAGTCATCCCATGCTGTGGGTCTGCATT